CAGTCCCTATGGCAGCACCAGATTTCAGCTGTCAGACTGAAGAACTCAGGATAAAACTTTGCCACTTATAAAGCAGTAACAGAAGTTTCAGACATTGTCTTTCAGGTCCCTAGGAAGAAACCCATTTCTCCAGGTACTGTTTCTCAGACAGCACAGTAATGATACAAACAGCACAGTAATCACACCTACTCCACCCAAATACCAAGTTTTTAGGTATTGGAACCCTTGAGTTAGGCTCAGTTTAAATGGGATCCTCCCAGCTGCCACACAGACACCAATCATTCCACCCCCCTATCAGCATTGCTGTTTTCTCCCAGGAAAAGCAGGATTACCATCTCAACACACTTCAACTGCATGGAAGCAGGACACCAAGAGTTCACCACTTTCCAAATGCAAAATCTGTGAGTGCCACTGGACAACCCAAACTGGAGTCAAAATGGGATTTTCCCTTTCAGGGAAGCAGAACAAGAGCCTGAGCAGACATCGAGACTCCAGGACACAAAACAATAGCTGAAGGAAGCAGCTTCCCATTTATGTTCTAAATATATAGTTTGCACTGTATGTATCCTGATAACACCAAAACCTGACAGCTCTCAAGCACCAAACAGCATTTCCAAGGTTCAAACAGTGCAACCTAACTGACAATAGTATATGAAATCAGAGTAATTCAGGGAGCCCTGCCATGAAATCAAAAATGCACAGGTGCCTCTCAGGTCACTCGATGCGAGGCTAAAATTCAATTACTACAACACTGATGAACAAGCTATGAATGCTATGTAAAGCAGACTTTATTTTTAGATGCATAGATTCTTAGTGAGAATTAATCTCCCTCCACTGGCCTCAATAATTCAAGCAGCTTCCAGTCCATGGCAAAAACCTGCCATCTTCCCAGGTTCAGGAAAGGAAGTCCTCAGCCAGAGAGTTCACCACAAAAAAAAATGTAGATTTGCTGGCAAAATTAGCTACTTTCAACTACAGATACTATGATACATCCATGGAATAAGATAGCAGACATGGGACTCAGAAGCTCTTACAATATTAAGATTTCATATTGTGCAATACAGCTGATTTTTTAGACATAGTAAATTTTTACCAAAATCTACATTATTACACAGCCTGAAAGCTTCCTAAGGAAATTGAAAGGCCATCAGCAGAACATCTGGCATCTATTTCAATAGATTCTTTTCAACAGCAGAGCTTTGTTATTAGAACATAAACATGACACATTTTTAGGCAAGAATACAAAAATCACAAAATAGAAAGGGACAACATACAACCAGCAGTCAGGTCTGACAAAAACACTCTACCAACCTGAAGGACAGCAGTAGGAGTAACTAAGCCTTGCTGCTGAAGACAATAAACCTGAATTCTTCCAGAAATTCAGAAGCACCCTTACAAAGAAAGTAATTTCAAAATTACTTCAAGCTGGGTTTTGGATGTTTTGAGTATTTTACAGAGGTAAATTAACAACTCCCACTGGGTTTCAGGAGGCATGAACACTTTATGCATACTGCATGTGGAGGATATAAAACCCTGAGTGACAGACACAGCTACATGTTTGCAAAGTAGATTCTAAACTCCTGTCAAAATCATCGTATGAAACATGCTTCAAGTACTACTGTTAAACCTGTTCTGCCAAACAGGGTCCCTTACCCAATTCTCAAACCCAGAACAGGACTCATGGAAAAATAAGCCCCATGTGAGAAGCTCTCCAAGGGGGAAAGGTAAGTAGCCTTACTGTATGAAGATAACATCATACTCCTGCAAGTTAGGGAGTTATTGCAAAGCAGATATTTCTAACAATACAGCATCTGTTGCTATTTCTGGCTTTGAAATAAGCAAGGACATTTTATCAGGCAGCATGTCCTGAACTGAAGGACAGCCTTGAGAAGCATTCTTTCTTGGGGTCTGCAGGAAATAATACCATAGCTAAGTTAGATTTCAGTCCATTATTTTGAAATCTAGAGAAAGAAAAGCCTTATTGTGTAAGTCACATGAACAGTAAAATAAGCTCCTGAATAATTTGATGGTTCAAATTTAGGAGTTTACATGTAGAAGTGCCATGTGAACATTCCATTTACTGGAAAAATGCACATAACTCCAGTCAACTGGATGCCACAATGACGATTAGACACAGTAACTTTCGTTTACAGAGATCAGCTGAACTGAGCAAGTAAGTTTGCTCCCATACACTAAGGCAGTTAAGTTCCATGTTTGGAACCTACCCCAAATAAATCAGGCATGCACCAATGATGACATGGCTGCTTCAGGTGTGTTCACATCTTAAGTTAGGATTGTCCACACAGGAAAAAACTCCAAAAAACTCTCCACTTTCTCTTCAGTCAAATCCTGCAGGATAAAGTTCCATGGAGGGAAGTGAAGAAAATTCAAGGACCTGTTCTCAAAGGATTAGTACTGTTATCCCATCCAAAACATGTTTTAGAAGAGTTAAATGCTATGTCAAAAAGCAAAGGAGACTATCAGTATTCATATAGTACAGGTGGCTGTAAAACAAAAGAGAAGTCCTCAACCACGGTAAAATGATAAGAATCTCTAGCACAATTCAGCAATGACCCATTACAGGGTCACAAAGTTTCAATGTCCACTTTTCCTAAGTTTCCTTTGCACAGCTTCTCTTTCATCTACCCATCCGAACACCACCAGCAGCCACTTCAGCATCAATTAAAGTGAACATCTAGGATCACTATGCTGGAAATATAAAAAGGAGTAGGTATGTCTCTAAAGAGGAGAGACAGGTAGACAGAATCACAGAATCACAAACTCGTTTGGACTGGAAGGGACCTTGAAGCTCATCCAGTTCCAACTCCCTTGCAGCTTGCTATGAGTCTGGTTTGGAAACACAAAGACCAATAGCATAAACAGTTAGCAGCAAACTTGAAAATCATAAATGCAGAAATACCCAAAGCAATAACAATTCTAGCAAGGGCAAAAAAGTCTATCACCAATGCCACCTCACCTGGACTCCTCCGGCCTGTAATTTTAGTTGATGCCAACGTAGTTACCTTAGGGACAGAAAACACTTGTTGTGTGCATTCGGAATGACATGTCAGTTGTCATACCTGTTTTGTTACCTGCTTAAAAAAAGTTCAAAGTTCCACTGAGAACAGATGTCACTCTTCCTTCCAACAAGTGGGTTCAGAAACAGTCTAAGCTCACGGTGAACCCACAGACTGTGTGTTTTATTTCTTCATTTTCTCTCAGTTCTGTTGCAGAAACAGTCCAAACTGTTTGTGGTTTGTTGAAATTAAACTATGACTGCCTAGTCAGAGCATAAAGGCAGTAGAAAGAGAACACAGTACTACCCCAGATTAGAGAACTATTGCAAAGGAGCTATTTCTAACAATACAACATCTGTTGTTATTTTTAGCTTTGAAATAAGCAAGGCCATCTTACTGTGCAGAGTGTCCTGAACTTCAGGACATCCTTGAGAAGCATTCTTTCCATAGGGTCTGCGGGAAAGTTCTGTCACGCAGTGATTTACTACAGGCAGCTTTTTACAGCTGGTTTTCACTGGGTGACAACAGCGATGATCTCCCAAGAGGCCGCCGAGCCGTGCTCGGGCAGGGGCAGCACTGGCCCCTTCCTGAATCTCCCAAGTCTCCATTTGCCACGGTCAACCCCACGAAAGCGGGCGGGGAGCAGAAAAGAAAACAGCTCCAGAGCTGAGGAGCTCCGTGCCAGTCGGCACAGATCACCGCGCGGCCTGCCACCCACGAACCCGCCAAAGCCGGCGGCTCCGGCCCCGGGCTAAAGAACAGCCCGTCAAAGTTCGCTCGGCTGCTCCTCCCGTCACGAGGACGCGGGCTGAGAGCGCGGCCGGAGGGCCGAGAGCGGCGCGGGCCGAGCCGCAGGCGCCCCGCGAGCTGCCCCGCTCTCACCCGAACACAGCGGGGCCGACTGCGCTCCTTCTACCGGCCCCGCCGCGGCCTATACCGCCACCCCTACGGCCAGAGCGGGACCGAGGTCCCGCTGTCCCAGGAGTGCCTTCCGCCCGCAGCGCACCCGCGGGCCGTGAGCCGAGGCCGCGCTGTGCCCGAAGGGCCGCACTCACCTCAAGGTCCGGAACAGGCAGCGGGCTGCGACCGACCGAGCTTTTATCCTCCCTCCTCCGCCGCTTCGCTACAAAATGGCGGACAGGGTCGCGCGCTCACGTCGCGGCCTTTCCCCTCCCCCGTCCCCTCGCGGCAAGGAGCTCCCCGGGGTACGAGGGTACCCGGCCTCTGACAAGGCATATAGGAAGGGCCTCAGCTGTGACAGGGACCCCTTCCCCAGCTGTCATGGGGTCAGCAATGCCAGACCTCCAGTCCCACAAAATCCACCAAAAAGCTTAGGAAGCTAGGGTGGAGATTTGGGACGTGGCTTCATCCCAACCTCAGAACGGGCTGAGTAAGTTGGGGTTGTTCAGCCTGGAGAATAGAAGTCTGTGTGGAGACCTCGGAGCAGCCTTCCAGCACCTGAAGGGGGGCTATAAGGATGTTGGAGAGGGACTCTTCGTTAGGGACTGTAGTGATAGGACAAGGGGTGGTGGGTTCAAACTTAAATGGGAAGTTCAGGTTAGATACAAGGCAGAAGTTCTTCCCTGTGAGGGTGCTGAGGCCCTGGCACAGGGTGCACAGGGAAGCTGTGGCTGCCCCATCCCTGGCAATGTTCAAGGCCAGGTTGGACAGGGCTTAGAGCAAACTGGTCTAGTGGAAGGTGTCCCTGCCTGTGGCAGGAGGTTGGAACTGGATGAACTTTAAGCTCCCTTCCAACCCAAACCAGCCTGGAATTCCATGATTTGATGATTTTGAAAACCAGTTACTGCGTGAGTGTTGGCAGACACTGTGACATGTGCTGAGATGCTCCCACGGCCACAAAGCCCCTGGCTTCCTCATAGGCAAGCATCAAGCACATAGAAGCATTTGTAGGCACTGCACCACCTTAAGTCTGCAGGAGTTGGGTGTGTCTGAAGGAACATCTGAAATACACCACAGAAATGGTTTTATGACACGAGACAGACTTTTACTGCCCACAAGTCCTGGGGTCTTTCATCAGACAGATGAGGAATGAAAGATTCAGGGCAACACATTGGGATCCTGTTCCAAGATCCTCAGGGGCTGCAGCTGGCTGCCCACTGGAACAAAAGGATTGAAAAGGAGTTTCTTCTAAGGGACAAAGACCAGCCTGCCATCCCCATGGTCACTGCAGCTCTGGGGCTGCTGCTCTCACCAGGAAAAAGCACAGAGGCTGGGCAGGAGCTTCCACCCCATGACCACATGGCAGCAAGCCTCTCTGGAGAAGCAGCCCTCTGAAGTCCTGGGCTTATAGCACTCACCCTTTTAAATCAAAGCTCTTGTTTTAGACCCAGCCTGGAGCACTGAAACACAAGGGGGTCCCAACCACTCCCATCCTCCCATCCAGATTTCATCTTCTGCTGTTTGGCAAAAGGATCAGGTACTGAAATTTCTCTGTAAAGGCAGCATCAGTGGGAGGGGGACACAACGCATCCCAGGAACTTGTCCAAGCTGGCTTACAGTATGAAGATGCTCAGCTGAGAGTCCAGCTCCATGTCCTTGCCTCTTGCTACTTAAAGCATTTCTCACAGCCTCCTGGTGACATGGCAGTGCTATTTACAACAATGTAAGACACTCTCCCTTTAGCAACAGCTTCCCATGCTACCCTCTTCCTCCTTCCCACAAGGCATTTATGACTTTTATATATTTTCTCTTTTTTTATAAGACTGGCAAAACTAGCAACTGTGTGATGGCTGGAACCACCAGTGCCGACTACTGCATATACAGCAGTGAGGATGTAACCTGCTACAAACACACAGTTCTTAGCCAGCAACTCAGACTTGGAAGTAGCCTGACTGGAGGCCCGGAGATGCTGAGCAGGCAAGAGGAACATGGGAAGTGCGTGAGATCATGCAAAGTTCCGAGCTGCACTGCAGATCTGTCCTTGGTTAAACATCAGGCTCTTCAGGTCTGACATGCACAGTCCCAAGGGCCCCTACCTCAAGGGGAAGGTGAAGTACTTGTTCCCTGACTTGCAATATATTTGGTCCCACTGGACACGCAGCAGGAGTGCCGAGTCCTCGAACCCATCCACGATGTCCTGGAAACCAGATGGAAGAATTAGTACCAGGAGGATGGATCTGCCAGAGGACAGAGTCAGCAGCTCCCTCCCTCAACCAAGTTGGAGATGAGGCCATTTGTGGCCAGAAGCCTCTGACTTCCCTCTGGAGGGTGACTTATCTTAATTGCCCCCAAAAGCAATATGAGTTCTTCCAACCCAGTGAAGTTTGTCTTGCTCAGTGAAGAAATCTCCTCTGCCCTTGGCTGAACACCAGCTCTGCTCTTCCCCTGTTCTCCATGCTGTGCAGGGCCATACCTGGAGCTCCTTCAGGCACTGCCCTTCCAGCCTCTCCGACAGGTCCCCAACGCACCAGGCCAAGCTGATGTGGAATGATGGGTCCTGAAAGCAAAACAGGGATTAGATCATGAGGGGTGAAGGAGGCTCTGCTCAACGGATGGAACCATGGTGGGAGATCTGGTGTGATGCTGTCCTGCCTGGGACCACACAGGCAGGAGGATCCTGAGGCTGGGAGCCCCCTCTGCCAGCTCAACAGTTGCAGAGCTGATGTGCATGAGGTGAATTGAGTCCTGCACTCCCCCAGCCCAGCCTTTCTGTACACAGGTGGGCAAGGCTGATTCTCAGCCTCACTGCAGTCAGCAACTGCACAGAGAAACTCCCATGGCCGGTCCCACAGTGGGTAGGTGGGTCACTTCCAAATAGTACACAAGAGACTCCTGCTCAGCTCTGGAGACAGAGAAATCAGGGTCTGGCCCTTCAAATTCCACAATCTGTCCTCAAAGCTAGTACCAAGCAAAAAGGCTAGACAGATGCCCCAAGAAATTGCCCAAGGAAGAGGCACAAGCATCACCGCAGTGCTCATCCCAAGCCTGTTTTATCCTAGGACAACCCTAATTCCATGCACAGCTGAGTGTCTGCTCTGGCCCTTTGCCACAGAGACATGATTCTCAAGAGGCCACTAGACAGTTAACATCCTTACTCACCTGCACAGGGCATGATACAGAAATCAGAGACTTACAGAATAGAATTGTAGAATGGTTAGGGTTGGAAAGGACCTTAAGATCATCCAGTTCCAACCCCCTGCACCATGGGCAGGGATGCCTCACACTAGACCATGTTGTCCAAGGCTCTGTCCAACCTGGCCTTGAACATTGCTAGGGATGAAGCATTTACAACTTCTTTGGGCAATCCATTCCAGTGCCTCATCACTCTCACTGAACTTCCCCTGTTTAAGTTTGAACCCATTACCCCTTGTCCTGTCGCTGCAGTCCCTAATGAAGAGTCCCTCTCCACATCTTTGTAGGCCCCCTTCAGACACTGGAAGGCTGCTCTGAGGTTGCTATGACTTTCACTAGTCCTATTCTCAGCAAGATTATGTTCAGCGTGTGAGGTATGAAAAGCCCAGAGGAGACCATTTCAGTGTGTAACCTCCTTGTGCCTCTTTATTTGAGGTGAACATTTTAAGGGCCTCTCACACGGAACCAGCTGGCATGTTCAGAGCGGCAGGGAAGCATTGGAAGACACCTCACCTTGTAGAACGTAGGAAGGTCAAATTCCTCCAGAACTCTGTCTACCTCTGAGACCAGCTCCAGCAGCTGAAAATGCCCAGCAGTGACCTCCAAGCCAATAAAGGTCCTAGAAAAAGGCAAAGAGAGACAGCAAGCATGCTCTCATGCTGCAGGAAGCACAGCTGAAAGCATACTTAGCCCTGCGTTCTGACCAGGCAATTTCCCTACCCCCTAACAAAAGATATTATGAGGAATTCCAGGTTTAAGCGTTCAATGAAACTGACCACATTCTCAAGAAAAAAAGAAACAGAGATGTAGTGGCAGGGAGAAGAGGGACTGGATGATACACAGTACAGGCTTACTAGACTAATTCAGCACTGTTTGGGACACAAAAACTCAACTTTACAGCCACAGGATGCATTCTATGGAAATTCCAGCAGGCCATGGGCCTGGGCAGCAGCTGCTGTCAAAAAGCAGAAGTTGCTGGAGGTGTTTTACAGTGGGAGAGGAAGCAGGCAATGGGACATACCAAGCTGGAGAGATAATCTCCTCAAGAGGACTGTCTGGATGATGCTTTCTAGACTCCAGGAGGGGAGGGGAGGACTAAGGATCCACTTCTTCATGCCCACGACTATCGTGAGCTGCCATTCCCACTAGATTCAGCAACTTCTCACAATTTAAACACCTTTGCTTTGACATTTAAACTACTTAATTGCATTCAGTCAGAATCAGGCTTCTGAGCTGACACCCACGAGAATTAGCACTGTCTGAGCCATTTCACTCCAGCTCTTGAAAGACCTGCACTACAATTTCACCAACCAGCTCTGCCCACCCCAGGCTGCAGGTTCACCCACTGCTGATGTGACCAAAGGCTGGCAGAGAATCAGCACTGGAGCTAAATGTTTGTGCAAGTGGCTCGGGAATGGGTGAGACCTCTGGGGATGCAGTGATCCTGTACTGCCCTGTCACACGGCTCAGCCAAGTCACTGTGGGACAGGCAGGGTGATGCCTCCTATTCACCCAGCACCTTGCTCAGGCTCCTCCCCAGGCAGGCAGGGAGGGTGTGCTGCTACTCACTCACCTCGTCTTGTTCTGGTTGGTGTAAACCTTCACTTGGTCAGCTACACAAAAGAACCTGAAATAAGGAAGAACCTATTTCAGCTGGTAGAAGGAAAAAAGAAAAAAAAGAGTGGAAAAAAAAAAAAAGGAAGGAAAAGAAAAGGGTTGTGGGGTGGAGGGGATGAGAAAAAATAAGAGAAAAAAAAGAAAAAAGAAGAGGGGAAAGAGAGTGAAATAAAAAGAGAGGAGAGGAAGAAAAGGAGAAAGAGAGGGGGGAATTGGGGAAAAAAAGACAAGGAAAAAAGAGGAGAAAAGAGGGAAAAAGTGAGAAAGAAAAAAAAAGAGAAGAAGTGTGGAATAAAAGGGGGGGAAAGACATAGGGAAAAAAAGGGGGAGGGAAAAAGTGGGGAGAAGAAATGAGAGAAAAGGGGGAAAAGAAGAAAGGAAAAAGAGAAAAAAAGGAAAAAAAAAGAAAAAAGTGGGGGGAAAAGAAAAAAAAAGTGGGAAAATGAGAAAAATGAAGGGGGGGGGGGAAGAGAGAGAAAAAATCCTGTGGAGGGGACACGATTTCTAACGAGCATTGGAAAGATAAAGGCAAATGTGTGCCCCACGGGCACCGAATAGCTGAAGCCAGAACCTTCCTGGACTCGGACTAACTCCTCCGGTTTGCAGCTTTTCGGAGCCTCAGAAATGACCCTTGGGGCAGAGCACGGCACAGCACCGCCGCCGCCTGGAGAGGGCAGACGTGATTGTGCTGCCCGACCACGCTGAGAGCTCCGTAGGGATAAGCACCAGAGAAGCCTGCAGGTGCCGCTGCACCCAGAGGCCTGGGCGGGAGGGAGCAGCCCCGGAAGGCACGTACCTGTGGAAGGAGGCCAGGCGCGCCCTGAGGCCGCTCACGAAGGGCTGTATCCAGTGGTAACGCAGCACCACGCACTGCGAGAGGCTGAGGTGGAACTCCTCCATCGCCGACAGCGACGGGACGTGGTTACGGGCGCGGTACACCAGCAGTTCCAGCAGCTCCAGGAACTCCTCCCGCACCCTGTCTGCGGGCAGCGCGCTCACACACGGGCTGTCCCCGTCCCCACCACCACCCCTCCCCGAAGCTCCCGTCCTCGCCGGACACCGGCTGCCCCGCGGACTCGCAGGCCCGCCACCACCTACAGGGCAGATAGACATGGGTCGCCCAGTTGCCCCGCTCGTGCGGGAAGCTGCGGACGCGGCCGCCGTGCCGGGAACTGTCATCGGTAACGGCCTCCTCCGGCTCCAGATCGCCCGGCAGGTCCGCGGGCAGCGGCAGGCGGTGCCGCACAGCGCTGTAGGACGAGAAGGATGAAGGCCGCGCGTCCTCACCCGGCCCCGCTGGCTCCCACCGCCCTGGGCCCTTCCCGTTGCACTCACCCGGCCCTGGAAGGCTCCTGTTCGCCGCCACCCCGGTGCCTCCCTTCCTCTTCCTCCTCCGAGCTGCTGTACTCCACCAGGGCGGCCCTCATGGCTCTGCCGAGCCTTTCCGGGCCGCTACTGCCGGTGACCCCCTCTCCCAGTGCCGGTGTCCCGGTGCCGGCGGGGGCGCTGTTGTGGCCGCGGCCCAGCAGGGGGCAGCCTCCGCGACTCGCCCCGCCTCCTCCGCCGCCGCCGCCGCGGCCGATCCGGCCCGCTGGGATCGCGCCCTCCCTACGTCCGCAGCCGCCGCCCGCCCGCCTCCGGCACCGGCGCCCTGTTCCCTCCTTCCGTCCCTCCCTCCCGGCTCTCGTCGCCACGCCGGCTTGGGGCTTGGGCGGAGCGTGCAGGCCGCGGCCCCGCCGGTAGCGAGCAGGCTGCCAGGGGCCTCCCTCCCGTCGGAGGTTGGGGGCTTGGCCGCCGCCGCCGCCGCCCTTTGTGTGGGCCTCGCCGGGGCGGGCAAGAACCCCCTACCCCAGCCCAGCGTGGGGCTTCCAGCAGCGCAGCAGCGTGGCAGGCCGCAGGGCACCGTAAGCGCGCCGGTGCGCGCGCCGGCGGGGCCGCGGGAGCCGTCCCATGGGGAGAGGCGAGCTGCGGGACGGGCCTGGCCGCGGGCTGCAGCGGCCGCTGGCCTCCGAGCTCCCCGGCCGCCCCCGCGGCCCCCGGGCCCGCCGCGCCGCTCCCTGAGGCGGCCTCGTCCTTGGCCCGCCGGTGGGAGGCGGGAGCGGGCAGCACCATGCCGGAGCAGGCCGTGCCGCGAGCTGCTGCTCCAGTTTGAAAGTACCTCTGCGCTCCCGTCTGCTCTCCTGGAATGGTTGTCGCTTCCCACCTCCCACGGAGGGATGACTTAGGCTCGGAGCTGGCGCTGGCTCGGGTACCCGTGCAGAATCCTCGGTAAGCCAAGGTTGGTATTCCTCGTTCCCCCCCTCCTCCATGGGTCTGGGATGCTCCTGCCGTGGTTAACGTTGCCCGAGGGGGAGGGCTGCAGCCGGGCTGAAGCTCTGTATCCATCCCATCAAGCTCCGTGCTGGAGATTGCTGCTGCCAGCCCATGTCTGCAGGCAAGGTGAGCTATGTAGCAGAAAGAGCAGATCTTGGCGTTCTGGCAGGGTGGTGATGGGACCTTTGGGTGTTTTACTATCCAAAATTTTGCTGGCAGTCAAAATACTATTTTGCAAGTCCCTGTAGGCAGAAGCTCCCCAAGCTGTAGGTAACCATCCAGTCTCAGTTGAGCACTGGGGAGGTGGGATGTGGGTTTCTTTGGTCCTCGTTAACGCTTGGTTTTAAACACAACAAACACCTTCCTAGAAGACCCAGGTTTTACTTGACCCTGGGTAGGGGCATGTGGGTTGACTCATTCCTGTCTGTGCTCTGATGGGGGTTAGGAACTCATGGCCCAGGCTGTTTCTTGCCGAAGCCTGGACCCTCTCTCTTGAGATGTGTTGCCTCTGCTGCTCACTGGTGGGTTTTACTCTTAAGTTTATACCAGGTTTTTCTGGACATCTCTAGAAAGACTGGAACTTTTTAGTGAGCTGTGATATTCTGCAGTAAGACCAGGCAGCAGCTCTGGTGTAGAATGATCAGCTCCAGTGTACTTCTGTTCCATGTTTTGGTAGGAGGTTCAGCTGAGTTACTGCTTTAACAGTTCTTTTATCTTCACAGCAGGTTCTTTGCATGATACCTGTGGGTTCTGTGTTTTGTGGATAGGATAGCAGAGGTTCCTGCTCTTCCTAGTCCACAAGTGCTGCCCAGAAGGAGCAGAGGAAATCTCTTACATACATCCCTTGGGTAATGTGCCCGATACCCAAGCGGCAGGAGGAGCAGAACTGCCTTACAGGGGTGTTTCAGCTGGGATGGGATCAGCTTGGGATCTGCCTTGATGTCTATAAAATCTGATCTGGTAGCTTCTTGATTGTACAGCATTTGGTGTACCTCAGCCTGGGCAGAGATGGGTGTTTCAGCCCATGCCCCCAGTGGGGCCAGGACATCCAGTGGATGACAGTAGCTGGGGTAGTGGCTTTGCTGACTTGAACCTGGGCAGCTGTGCTGCCTCTTGAGAGCCCATGTCTCAAACACATGCCTGGCTGTGTGTAGGCAGAGCCTGACCCTCCCTAGGTCCAGTCATCTTTAGCCCAGCGGTAAGGGGGGCTCTGGTTCTTGTCAGCTCCTCCACACTGGCCTTCTGGCAGCTTTGCAGGGACACAGGAGAGTTTTGAAAGTGAACTGTGGGAGAAGGGTGACTGGAGTGTTGCCCATCTTTCTTCTAAGACCTGACACCAGCTGTCCTCTTCCTTGCAGAGAGAACTGTTTCCTGGGCTGCTTCCCTCACCCTTCCCAAATGTGAGCACATCACAGCCAGCACAGAGAAGGACCTCCTCTTGTCTTGCTTCTGCCTCCTGTTCTTTTGTCGGAAAAGCCAAACCAGATCAGTCCACAAAGAACTTGAGCTGATCTGAGGAGGAGGCTCTGGAGTTTCAGTCACTGCTTCCCAGGATCCTGCTGTCGGCTGGATTTTCTGTCCTTGACTTCAGCAGATCGGCTACGGGGAATCAGGATCTTGGGTACTTTCAATTCTTGTTTTCACTTGAACCTTCTCCACCAAGAAGCTGAAGCTGTCCCTGCTGAAATCCCGTGTTTTTCCCCAAGCATGTCAGAAAGCTGGCAGCAGCAACAGCAGCAACCACCGCAGCCACCACAGCAGCACCACGCTGGGGCAGCCGCTCTCACAGAGCACTCCATCCCGCCCAGCACTGACAGCTCCCTGGGCTGTGCTGTCTACGGCATACTGCTCCAGCCAGACCCCGGTCTGCAGCACCCCCAGCACGCCTCCCTCCAGGTTGGAGACCTGTCCCACAAATGTGGGGTGTGTGGCCATGACCTCACTCACCTCTCCAACCCCCATGAGCACCAGTGCTTGCCAGGCCATGATCGCTCTTTCCAGTGTACCCAGTGCCTGAAGGTCTTCCACCAGGCCACTGACCTTCTCGAACACCAGTGCATCCAGGTGGAGCAGAAGCCCTTTGTGTGTGGTGTCTGCAAGATGGGCTTCTCCCTCCTGACCTCACTGGCGCAGCACCACAACGTCCACAACAGCAACGCCATGAAGTGCTCTATCTGTGAGAAAACCTACAAGCCCCCTGAGGCAGAGCATCTGCAGCCTCTTGACACCTCAGAGAAGCCCTACAGCTGCTCCATCTGTCAGAAAACCTTCAAGCACCTCTCGGAGCTGTCCCGGCATGAGCGCATCCACACGGGTGAGAAGCCCTACAAGTGCACGCTGTGCGACAAGAGCTTCAGCCAGTCATCCCACCTGGTGCACCACAAGCGGACACACAGCTCGGAGCGGCCCTACAAGTGCACGGTGTGCGAGAAGACCTTCAAGCACCGCTCCCACCTGGTGCGTCACATGTACGCGCACTCCGGGGAGCACCTCTTCAAGTGCAACGTCTGCGAGTTGCACTTCAAGGAGTCGTCAGAGCTGCTGCAGCACCCCTGCACACCCAGCGGGGAGCGACCCTTCCGCTGCAGTGAGTGTCAGAAGGCTTTCAAGCGCCCATCTGACCTGCGGCAGCATGAGCGCACGCACAGCGAGGAGCGGCCCTTCAAGTGTGACCTGTGCCAGATGAGCTTCAAGCAGCAGTATGCGCTGATGCGCCACCGCCGCACGCACAAGGCTGAGGAACCCTTCAAGTGCAACCTGTGTGAGAAGGGCTTTGTGCAGCCCTCGCACTTGGTGTACCACCAGCATGTGCATGGCATAGAAAACCTCTTCAAGTGCAACGTGTGCCAGAAGGGCTTCAACCAGTCCTCGGAGCTGCTGCGGCACAAGTGTGTGCAGAACGCAGAGCGTCCATTCAAGTGTGGCATATGCAACAAGTCCTACAAGCGGGCCTCAGCGTTGCAGAAGCACCAGCTGGCCCACTGCTCCGAGAAGCCCCTCAAGTGCACGCTCTGTGAGAGACGTTTCTTCTCCTCCTCCGAGTTCGTGCAGCACTGCTGCGACCCGGCCCGTGAGAAACCCCTCAAGTGCCCTGACTGTGACAAGCGGTTCAAGTACGCCTCAGACCTGCAGCGCCACCGGCGTGTGCACACCGGTGAGAAGCCCTACAAGTGCCCCTCCTGTGAGAAGGCCTTCAAGCAGCGCGAGCACCTCAACAAGCACCATAGTGTGCATGCCCGGGAGCAGCAGTACAAGTGCATGTGGTGCGGGGAGCGGTTCCTGGACTTGGGCCTGCTGCAGGAGCACAGTGTCCAGCACACAACCGAGGGCGCCTACCAGGTGGCTGCCTGCTTGTCATGAGCCTCCTGCCCCTTGGTGGCTTGCAGCTTGCATGTGATGCTCCAGAGCCTCAGCCTCCCCCTTCCCTCTTCTTGGTTGTAAACAGAGTTTGGGGGTAGAGAGGTAGGGAGGTCAGGCAGGTAAACTTTCCTCTGGCCTCTGTGGTTGCTACACCACTTGTTTTACAGGGGCGATGGACGATGTGAAAAGCTCAAAGGGGTGGAGAGGAAAGGAGGGAGGTGGGGAGCCTGTAGTTGCCTAGTTCACGCTGTACCTGCAGTTCCAGTGCTGGGATCTGAGCTGTGGGCACCAGCCTTTCGCATGCAGCCTTTTTTCAGTCCTCTGCCTGACGGTGCTGGTCCATAGGGCTGGGTGACTCCTCCTGAGAGGGCTTAGGAGAAGGGCAGAGAGAGCTCAGCGAGGAAGTAGCAGGTTTCTGCTTCTGGGATCTTCCATATTTCTTGGTCCAAGATCAGTTGCAAGGACTGCTTCAGTTTGTTAGTGTTGACTGCCTTGACCTCCCCTGCTCTCCCTCTTTCTAGAGTGTAGAAAGGGAAAAGCCATGGGGCCGCATAGCTCCAAAAAGCACTTTGGCATTGCTGCTTTTGCAGTCATTGGCTATCACACCCTGCAAGGGTCCTGGGTGAGCCTGCCCATCCCTGCCAGCAGCATGGGGAGGAGTAGCAAGCGCTGTGCCTCTACTGGCAAATGTGGCAAGGAGGGTCTCCCTGCCCTGCTCATGACTGAGAGCCTGCTTCCGGAGGGACCCAGCTCTCCTGCCAAAACTCCCTCCCAGCCTCTGGGCCCCTTTGCACTGCTTGGGCTGTCAGCATCCCCCCGGGGGCATCAGGCAAAGAGCCCTTCTGGCTGTTGTAACAGTAAAGGTTGAGAGAACACTACTAATAACCTACAGTTTGAGAAGTGTCAACCTTGCCAACAGGAACCCATGCTGCCAGGAGCTTGGTGGCTGATTTGCTGGAGGGAACCAAAGCAAGCCAGGGGCATCCATCCTGGCCTGCAGGCTGGGCTCTAGAGGAAGGGGAAGGTCAGGAGTGGGCAAAGGAGTGCATTTTTCCCCTCTTGTGGGAGTCCTGTTTTACCCCTTTACTCTGTCTTTACCTCTTCTGTATTTTTCAGGTTTTGCACAGTTCTTGTAAACATCACTTACAAATAAATTTCCCCTAGCAAAGTTGATGCAGCCTCAGGTGTTTTCCTCTGCAGGAATTTGCTGGCTTCTCATGACCGAGGGACCTGTTACATGCCAGTTAGATGCCTTGGAGATTGAAGGTGTGCTCACTAGGTTGCCCATCAGCCTTTCCCTCTCTGTCTTTGGAGACATTAAGATGTTAAAAGTCCATCTGCAGGGATACTCACCCACTTGCTGTATATGGTCGTGGACAGCCTGCTGTAGCTGACCTTGTGCAAGCAGATTGGACAAGATGGTTCCCCAAGGTCCCTGCCAGCCTCAGCTCTTCTGTGCTGTTTGTTGGCCGTTGTGTGAGGCAGGAATGTTGTGATGAGTGGTAATTAGTAAGCAGTAGCCAGTAACTTGCCCTTGTGCTGCACAGGTGATGAGAACAAGGTTAATAAATATTGTCCACAGCAAATACAGGAAGATGAACCTTGTAGAGGCCTGGGCAGCACCTGCTTTGCTGGTTGGGGACTACTCATATAAAAGGTGGAGAAGGACTTTTGTTTCGAGGATGGTGAGGAGGGATGGGGACAATTCAGTGATAGGTCTGACTCTGGGGCTCAGTCTTCATGTGCAGCTTTAAGTGGGTTAAAGCAGAGCTTGCTCTGTGCTGCCCAAGGAAGAGGGAACGATGGTTATCTTCATGCTGCCTCAAAGATGTAGAACTTCCTACCGAGTTTTCTGTCCGTGTTTCTATTTCCTTTTTTCTTGTTTTGCCTTTTTTTTTTTCTTTTTAAGCAGTTTGTTAATACTCATTAAAAATACTGTATAGTTTAACTTGATGTCATACTGGATCTTTTAAACAACAAAAAAAGTGATACCTTGTTTTTTTAAAGATCTCTTTGGTTCTAAATAGCTGGTTTTTGCTGTTTAATATGTAGCAAGTTCAGTGTATGCTTTACTGTAGGAGAAAAAATTAGTCCAAGGAAGGCTAATCCTGTCTTTGCAGAAGGGCTTGATGGTGACCAAGGGTGTTTGCATGGGACCAGGGCCAGCTGGGGAGCCTGGCACCCACCTGAGCCCTCACTCTGCTCCTGCCCAAGCTCCACATGCCTGCCACAGTTCCCACAAAGCCAGGGGTTCTGCAGTAGCCAGGATCATTGCCCAGAGCTGGAGCTTGCAGAGAAGCTCATCTTTAGTAGGAGCAAGGTGTGAAATGGAGGCTGCTGAAGCCCCCAGGGGCTTTTGTGGCTTTATTTTTTTCTGGGGTGGCTGCTGGCTAGAGGGGAGGGGCTTGGAGGAATTGTTGGCATGGCCCCTTTGTGGCTGTTCCCTGCTCTCTTCCTTCCCCAGGGCTCCAGTGGCTGCTGGAGTGGCTGGACAGCCTGAGGTGCTTGGGGCGGAGGAGGGTGGCAGTGTGCCCCAAGCACAGCTCTGTGCCTTGTGCTGGCCACAGAGCTGGTGGATCCCATACCCTTTATACCCCTGGGCATAGGGACTGTTGTGGTCTGTTTGTTTTCCTCAAGCTGCACAGCTAGGAAGGCCTTTGGTGCCCAGCTAGGAGCTCCAGCTCTGCTTAGGATGTGGGGCCCCATACCTGGGAGAGAAGAGGTGCTGTGGGGACCTTGGTGGGGACAAGTGCAGGTCTTCGGTGGCTGTGAGCTGGTGCTCCTAGGTTCATAAACGTCTTGGTGCAGCATTAAAGCATCATTACGTAGGACTGGCTGTGATGACTCCCTTGTCTGCTGCACAAATCCAGTAGAAGCTCATGTTGATGTCTGCTGCCAGACGCTGGTACTGGCTGGTGGAGGACCCATGTGGAGCAGGCTGCCAAGTGGCCACCAAGAGCCTCAGGGGTGTTTTTACAGGGAAATTGTCTAGTTGGAAGCAGCAGGTCGATCTCTGCTCATGTGTCTTTGGGTCCTGTTTTGTCCCAAGAGAAGATGGAAATGGCCAGAGGCATGTGGGTGTCAGGAGTGTGGTGCTGGGTGGGGAAGCAGGGACTGGCCAGGCACCCACCACCAAGGGCTCTGCTAACTGCTGGTGTTTCCTTTTCAAACTAGAGAGCAGTTGTGGCCAAAGCCTGTTGTGAGTAAAACATGTTTCTACTCTACACGTGTTGCACTTTCCTTCTGACATTTCTTTCAAGAGACTTTCAGGCTTCTTCATGCTGCCTCCACTTGGCCTCTGGCATCACTCACTGCTGCACAACACCCAAGAGGGTCACTGTGCTGGAGCTGGTGTTGCATGTGTCTTCAAGACCTGGTGACCACACCTGAGGATGCTCTGTAGGGCAGCTCGAGCACAGGATGCTGCTGGGGAGATGCTGGGCAGGGTTCAGCTGACCAGAGGCTGTGTGGATGTTGTCGGGAGATAAGCCCAGCTCTGTAGGGCTGCTGTTACTCTCTCTTCCTGGGTCCAGGAAGAAGGTAGACTGTTACCTGGGCTTTTTGCTGATCTTCACTTCCTCTTAGCCTACCCTACAGATTGCCTTTAGCTATGTATCAGCCCCTTCCCCTCCACAGCTCTTTTGTTTATACTTTTGTAATGTAAGATCTTCTTGGCTTCTTCACCCTTTGTTCAACTCTTTATTTGCAAGCAGCAGTTTGGTTTTCATCTTTTTTTTTTTTTTTCATTTTGATTATGAGGTCTCTTCCCCCTTTCGCACCCCATATTCCCTTTGTCCTGCCCCAAATTCCTCTCCCAGGCTGAGATCCAGGTGATGCCAAACCATGATGATAAGGTCAGGTGATAGGACCGTAGGCTTGCTGAAATGCAGTAGGTGCTTCTGGTCCTTTCCCCCATGAGGCTGTCCATCCCACTGGGCACAGGCTATCCCTTTGGCTTAGCAGGTTGGCTTGGCCACATCGTGTCCATGGTGCAGCTCTTCTCTGGTGAGTGAGTCTGAGCCAGAGCAGGCCTGTAGGAAACAAGTGCTGAGGTGAGAGCAGCCATTTCCATGGTGGGTCCCTTTGTCACTTCTCCAGGGCTGGGCATTAAGTCAGTGAAGGGCTGTCAGACATTTCTGGGGAGAAGTCATGGCCTTGGTTGGGGGGGGAGTGTTGGATCACTCAGTTCCCTTGGGAATGCCTGCTGAGCAGCTGTGGGCATCAGGCAGGTGGATGAACTGAGTTGGCTGTGGTGTGGGCACCTCTAGGACCACAGGTATCCTAGGTGGCCCTGACAGCTCTCTGGGACCACATGCCATCCCTGCCATCTGGGTGGGAAGACATGCACACTCTGCTCTTGGGGCCCATAAGTGGAGGGCGAGGGGGAAAACATCCTCTCACAGTAGTCTGGGACCACGTATGGGTGCTCCAGCCTGGCTGAGCACTGTTAGGAGGGAGGAGAGCACTTTCTACACTTCCCTTGAGTATTTACCATCAAATCAAGGCTGCAGACAGAGACCGGCTATTAATATTAAGCTAAAAACCCACTTGTTCAGAGTTCGACTGTTCCTCCCTTGCGTGGCAAGTTCACCTGTGGAAGGTTCCTGCACACATGATGCTGAGATGCGGTAATGGCTGCTGCAAGGGCTGGGGCCAGCAGCTGCCTCTGCTGCTTTCTGGGCATGAAGGAGCTGTTGTTACAGCATGTCCTGGGTGCTCGGTGGGAGAGCAGCACAGCAGGAGGGAGCTGGACCACTGGCTTATTTCCATATCCTCTGGGCCATGGATCTGAGGGATTCCATGACTGTGAGGTTTTCGGTTATCCTGACCTGTGCTCACGCCTCTGGCAGAGTTCCCTGGGGCCATAGGGAGTTGCGGCCAAGGATGCTGAGGTTTGTGTAGCTTGCAGTGCCTTTAACACTGCTCTCCGTGGGTTTCTAAGATGATACTCCATGTATGTGTGTATATATATTGTATTAACACATCCTTCTCTTCTGTGTGAGTGTCAAATGGGTTTGCTTTACTAATAAATTTATAGTTATTTATACATTCCTGTGGATGTGTAAGATTTCTGGAGCAGAGCCTCCTCTGTCTTCATGTTCTGTCTGGCTCTGCTTTATATATTTATTTTTTTCCCATGTTTTCTTTCTTACTTTCCCCTGAACTTTTCTGATGGAGAAATGATTGTTCATCCACTTAGTAACCAAAACTTGAGACACTGGGTATAGGTAGACATCTGGGGCTGAAAGCAAAAGCAAGCAGAGTCTGCAGTATGGTTTTCATAGAATCCCAGATTGGGTTGGGTGGGAAGGAAGGGACCTTAAAGCTCATCCAGTTCCAAACCCCTGCCACAGGCAGGGACACCTTCCACTAGAGCAGGTTTTGCCCCTTGCTAGGGGTGGACAGTTCTCCTCTGAGGCAAAGCTGGGGCTTCAGGGCAGAAACACGCAGGATTCTGTCCACCAGGAGCGCCTGTTCAGGAGCAGAAGCTGATGCATCTTGTGCTCCAAGAACTCCAGCCCCTCACCTGGCCATTTTAGCTTTCCCAGACAGTTTTCTGGCATCCTGTGGTAACAAGAGACCTGCAGACAACGTGACTTGCTCCATCCCACACCCAGGTGAGATGTGTGTTTGGATCACCGAAAAAATGCTTCTAGCTGAAGGTTTGGGATGGGAAACCAAGGCAAGAGTGGGGACAGTGCTCTGGCTGAGTCCCGCAGCTGGGAGTTGGCATGGCACCCCTTCATGCTGCCTTGTCCATTCAGAGCTCCTTCAATTAAAGTGCAGAGGTGCTCTGGACGAGGAAGAGAAGGGATGTCCCCCTCTTCGGGAGAGGGTAGGACCCCTTCCCCTCTGCAGACACTGATCCCGGGTCACCTGTCCCTCTTGGCAGCTGTGCTGAGCCCTCGGAGGGCATTAGTGCCACAGAGCAGGATGGTGCCTGGTGGCAGAGTCATAGAATCCCAGCCTAGTCTGGGTTGGAAGGGACTTTAAAGCTCAACCAGTTCCAACCCCCTGCCACGGGCAGGAGCACCTTCCACTAGAGCAGGTTGCTCCAAGCCCCGTCCAACCTGGCCTTGAACACTGCCAGGGATGGGGCAGCCACAGCTTCTCTGGGCAACCTGTGCCAGGGCCTCACCACCCTCACAGCGCCTCACCCTCTTGCTTATATCTAACCTGAACTTCCCCTGTTGAAGTTTAAACTAAACACAGCCTTCTCTTCTCCAGGCTGAGCAGCACCAACTTCCTCAGCCAGTCTTAAAACTGGAGGTGCTCCAGCTACTGATCATCCTTGTGCCCCCTCTGTACTTGCTCAAACAGCTCCATGTCCTTCTTAAAAGAAAGGATGTTATGTTTCCCAGCTGCCCTAATTTCTTACTCCCAGCTGGATGATTTCCATGGGAAGATGAAGAGTTGAACAGCAGCTGATAGTCCCAAGCCAGTGCCTGTATTTGAACCTTGTGGTTTGAGGAAATACTCTGTATCCTCAGGGTAGGCACGCAAAAGACATCAGCACCACCACCTGCTATGCACAGGCTTTTAATGTCTCATCTTTGATTTCCCTGAATCACAGCAAAGCAGGTAATCCTTGCACATGCTAGAGCCCAGGCTCTGGCTCAGGGAGGACCAGGAGCTGCTGGTGGGAGCAGCATCCTCTCAGCACTGGCCCTTTAAGATCTGGTTCCTTTTCCAGAAGACCTTACTTACCTACTTGGTATCTTTTTTCCACGTAGTTACTGTAAGTGGTCCCTTCTGCCTTACCCCACCAATGTGAAAGCCAAGGATGAAAATGAAAGGCAGTGGAAAATAGTTCGGCAAACATGCCAGGAGAGCTGGCAGTATTGCCCAGGTAAGCAGCAGAACCTTCCCCTTGTTCTCCAGGTATTCCTCTTGGGCATTCACTTGCATCTTTGCAGTTGGAGGGGATGCAGGTTTTTTTGAACCCCTTACTGCAGGATTTCATAAGCCTGAGCCTGCAGAAGTTAACTTGAAGCTGCCTATGTGTTGCTTTGCTCTTTTAGGCAGCACTGTCTTCTCAGGTGGAACCTCCAGAGCACCCTGCAAGGTGGAACCTAGGCCAGGCTGTGCCATGAGGGCTTCTGGGTTGATCTTGTGTCACTTGCATCACTGGTCCTGCAAGAGGGGTAGCAAGTCCATTTAACACCATGCCTGTCCAGGAGTCTTTGATGCTGCCCAGGAGCTTGCATGTGGTGCTTTCAGGGCCAGCCCAGCCAGCTCCCTTCACAGGTGGGGTTTTTCACGGTGATACGGGGTTTTCTAGGCATTCCACAGCAGCCCCAGTGTCCTGCGTGTTAGAGCTGAGGCTCCCCTGCCTCCCCCAGTGCTGGTGTGGGATCAGCATCCATCCTGCAGTGCGGAGCAGAGGGTTTGCCCCCAGCCTGGAGGTGGGCAACTGGGGCAGCTAAAGTTGCTGACGAATTAAACTCTGCCAGCCCTAGGCCGGGGTCTGAGTCTACCATTCAGGAGAGTGAGGAGGGGGAAACTGCGTGGATCCAAGCTGCCTGGCCTAGCATAAGAGCCCTGTGCTCATCTTCTGGCCACCATGGGGGTTTGCTGCCGATTCCTGCCGGGCAGGAGCAGCTCTGCTGGCCAGAGCCATGGGGAGCAAAGTTCAGGGAGCTGAGGCTGGGTGATGGCTTTGGGAGCCACGAGGCTTGGGAGAACACAGCATGCACCTTTGATCTGTGTTTCTGCTGGAAAAGTCAGTGTTCAATGCTGACCTATAAGCAGTCATCACTCTGCTTCGGAGTGAGCAGTATTTTAAGAATACAGTGGTGCCTTTCAGACTGCTTCCCCAGGCCTGACAGGTGGGGAATGAGGTGCAAAGTGCCTGGACCTCTGCTGTGTGCTTCAGTTTCCCTAGCTGTGAATCAGAGCTGCAGAGGTGCCAGGCTGGGGCCAGGCAGGAAGGTGATCTGTTGCTCACTAGGATGGGGACTCCAGCTGTGCTGAGGAAGGAGGAATCAGGTCAGGGGGCTCTGGCCAGCCTGTGGCTGGATGTTGAGCAGAAAAGCTGTGCCAGAACCAGGATTCCAGGGTATGACCGTGGCTGGGATTAGGGCAATGGGAAAGGCTGGCAGTCAGCAGGGCTGAAGGTAAACGGATCAAGCAGCAATTGGCAGTCTCAGCAAGTGGAGGCTTAGCTCAGCCTGGCGCTTCTACCTCCTGCCACCATGCTGGGGTTAGTGCAGAGCAGCAAGTTCAGTATCCTGGGGCACATCACCCTTGCATCACCCCACAGAGTTTCAGCAGCCTCACTGCAGCTCATCTGTTCATGCCTGCATGCAGCTGGCCCTGGGCGAGGTGGCAGTGTCCCCACAGCACTGATGGGCTTGCATTGAGCTGGAGAGTGTCTGAGGTAGGTTTTGTGGCTCCAGCAATGTGGAGGATGCTCAAACCTGCTTGAATTTTGGCTTTTCTTTGCACTATCCTTCACTGAAGCCAGGCTGGCTGCTGGGAGCTGGGGCATTCAAGACAGCTGCGTGCCAGTAATCCCATTTGCAGGGAGTGCTGAGCTAATCCTCGCAGAGCCCTGAGAGGATTGGGGTGGGCCTGGGGGGTCAGCAGTGAGCTGCAGTGGCCAAGGAGCCTGTAGACCCCAACAGTGGCTTCCCGGGAGGCAGCAGCAAGTGAGTGGGGTAAGTGACAATGATGGAGGTGAGGGACATGGCTGGGGTTTCTGCAGGGTCACACATCACAGTGGAGTCAGTGCTCTGAAATGGAGCTGGAGGATGAGCTGTGGCAGGGAGATGGGTCTGTGGGGAATGATGCTGTGAGGGTGATGGAGTGGGATAAATGTGGATGGGTTTGATCTGCTACTGGAGGGGAGGGAAAGGCCATGGTACTCCCTGCTCCGAGTGAGGATGGCAGGTCTACGTGCTGCTTGTGCTGGTGACTAAAGCCCTTCACCCATGGAGCTGTAGGCAGGCAGTGGCATGTGCCAGTGCCCGCAGCACGGGGTACTGCGTGTGGCTGCTGCTCTTCAGTGCCAGCACAGACAAATCCTAGCTGCTCATTCCTGTTTCTTCCAGCAATTAGTTTTCTGGGGACCCACAAATGTTCCTGCCCCTCTGTTGTTGGGGTGTGCCAGAGGAACAGCACCAGTCCCCCACTTTCCTCCCCAGGCCAATGACAAGCTTAAGCCTCAGGCTTTTACAGCTGCACAACTTTATGTTGAGAGAAGGGGGTTTTCTCTGCACTTGTTTGGGCTTCTCTGGGACCTGTGAAGGTCCCAAAACACAGATAGAAGTGCTGCTGTGCCACGTGTCACTGCTGGGTTTTCTTTGCAGTTCCTAGGACAGCTCCTTGATCCCTTGTACCAGGTGAGAGGTAAAAGGTGAGTTGTTAATTGATTTCTGGTCATCAGCCTTCCTGGGAGGTGTTTTACAGCCACCCTGCTCTGGTGGTGTGGGGGTCTCTGGTAAAGCTGAGTCTGCCCGTGCTGTGCCAGGGGCTAGAGGTGCCACATGAGGCAATGCTTTGGATGCATCCCTACCCAGCTTCAGGCCCTGCACAAGGTGGGGGCAAGCAAAGAGCTGTACATCAGCTCATACATCATACATGAGCCTGAGAACAACAGCTCATTAGGATTTCAAATGCCAGGCTTTGGGAAGCCCCCAGTGAAACACCTCAAGGGATCTGAAGGTTTTCTGCATGCCTGAAATGCTGAGTGAGGGGTTAATGCAAAAAGCCAAGCACTGAGCAGCTTCCAGCCATCAGCCTGCTGGGTATGTGGGACTGGCATCATGTGTTAACCCGGGATGAAAACTCCCATGCAGTCTCGTGGCTGTAGATGGAGCTCAGGGACCTGCTTTCTCTTGCCCTTCACTGGCATCTCCTATGGGCAGCAGTGTGGAGGCAGCCCAAGAATGTTCCTGAGCCACTTACTGAGTAGAGTGGCATGATTCTGGGAGGCATTTTGGGCTGAGCATGGCTTTTGGAGGGGCAGCAGCAGCAAACATCCCCTATTTCAGCCAGTCAGAGTCCTGTACCCAATATGCAGCATCACTCTGCTCACTCATGCTGCATCCCAGACCAGAGCTGCATGGATAAGAGGTGCAGGAGACCCAGAAAGGCCAAGCAAGCAGAGCTTGGACAGCTGAAACCCTGCTCTGCAGCATCTTAGTTTTACCTACTGCATCAACACCACGGCAGCCCCAGCGCTGTAGCTGGCTGCCCCTCCTGCTCTCCTCCTGCCCCAGCAGCCGCCATGTCTCTGGGCCATGGCTGAAAGGTGAGAAGCAGAGTTGATGCACATATTGGAACTTGCTCCTAAACAAATTCTGCTCGAATTACTGTTGCTTTTCATCCTTCAAATGAAAGAAGGGGAGCATGGAAGACCCTGAGCAGAGCATCACTCTTTCTGTGATCAGCTGCGGCTTCATGAGCACTTCTTGTGTGATGCCAGCTGTGGAGGGCTGTGGAAAAACAACCCTAAGTGAACGGTTACATTTAGGAACAGCCTGTGAGATTAAGATTGAGGGTACGTTTTTTTCACAGTAGCGGTGAGGGATCAAGGTTGAATCATAGACTCACAGACTGGTTTGGGTTAGAAAGGACCTTGAAGATCATACAGTTCTACCCCCTGCCACGAGCAGGGAAACATTCCACTAGAGGAGGTTGTTCCAAGCTCCATCCAACCTGGGCTTGAACACTGCCAGGGATGGGGCAGCCACAGCTTCTCTGGGCAACTTGTGCCAGGGCCTCACCACCCTCACAGGGAAGAACTTCTTCCTTTTATCCAACCTAAATCTCCCCTGTTTCATTTTAAACCCATCACCCCTTGTTCTAGTCACTGCAGTCCCAACTTTCTCAGCCTGTCTTCATATAGAAGTTGCTCCAGGCCCTGATCATCCTCGTGGCATCCTCTGGGCTTGTTCCAACAGCTTCATGTCCTTCTTACATTGAGGACATCAGAACTGCACACAGTACTCCAAATGGGGTCTCACAGAGCAGAGTAGAGGGGCAGGATCACCTCCTTCGACCTGCTGGTCACGCTTCTTTTGATGCAGGTCTGGCTGTACTGCAGTGCCACCTTTCCCAAGCAGGACTTGCAGACTGCTGCTGGCCTCTCACTGCTGGAAACCCCTCCTTGCTGCCCACAGCCAGCAGGATGCTGAGCTGGATCGAGCGGGTGGTGCCCCAGCCCCCAGTTGCTCATCTGGTGGAGGAGATCCCTCCAACTCCAGCTCCAGAGCAGGACCTGGAGCCACCTAAGGTAAGTGGGGATCCAAGTCTGGGATGTAGCAGGCACCCTGTGGGCATGGTGGAGAGATGCCTGGTGCTTCTGCAGCATCCACAGAAGGGATGAGGGCCAGGATGCATCCCCACTCTGCAGCAGAAAGTATGGGGAGTCCCTGAGGTTTGCAGCTACCTTTGACCAGGGGACACTGTCTCCTTTCTTTTTTTTCTGGTACTTTCTGCCTTTCACCTTGAAGGCACCAACAGGGAAGGCTGATGGCCCCAGGAATGCTGCTGACTGCGCACGCACTGAAGGTAAGGCCCCATGCAGGGGAACACGGTGGTTTGGGCAGGGGATCAGCATTCCTTTGCTGAATGGATCCCTCCTAGCTGGCATCCCAGGGGCTGCTGGAATGGTGATGAGAGCTTTCATTTTGTTTTTTTTTTTCCTGCTGCCATTAAGAAATGGACAAGAAGGTGGGATTTGGAGTCCCTGAGGACCAAGGCTCTGTATTTGAGAGGTACTGCCATTGCATCCTCCAGTGTGCAGCATGGCTTGCTTGGGATTTTGCTTTCAGTTTTGGGGCTGGATGCCTGGGATGAAGGTTCTCAGCCTGACTTGCCCCTTCCCTGGCAGCATGGGGAGCAATGTGCTGTCCTGGCTCTCCCAGGGACTGGAGAAGGTGATTCCCCAGCCAGTCCCAGCCCCAGGGACACTGCAGGCAGTTGGGAAGAGCTTCGAGACAAGCATTGATGTTCCTGATCAGGTAGGTGACAGATCCAGGCAACAGTCTGGCATATTGGGGCTTCTAGCTCTTTTTACCTTTTCTTCTTCTTATTTCTCCTTCCCATCACTCTCTAATGCTAACTGGGAGCATTAAACCTGCCCTGCGTGGCCTTCATCCCTTTTGGGATGAGCCCACCTTGGCTGCCAGGGGATGATGGTCTGTTTGGCTTTTCAGACAGAGGTCCAGATCCTCAAGGACGAGGAAGAGGAAGCTCTGGGTAAGGAGAGTCAAGAGTGCAGTTTGCAGCATCCCAGGTGCCATTCTGGGACTCCCACATCCCACCTCCCCAGTCAGTGATGCTGGCACTACTGTCCCCTTGCGCCAGCTGATGGGGAAACCAGCAGCTCCTGGCACTGCAGGTCCTGGCTCTCCCCTGTGCCCATGGCACTGCTCTCCTTGCAGAGATAATCCCCTTCGATCCGGAAGATGACAAGCTGGATGACTGTGAGCCGGATCCTGGCTCGGATTCTGCCACCACGGAGTGGTGGGTCCCTGGGCTGGCTGTTGGGGGAATGCAGGGGGTGCATGGGATGAGCTCCCCAACCATGGCTGCTCTCCCCTCTGGCAGGGCAGGAGTGCGGGTGCTCAACTGGCTGGTGCAGGGCTTCGAGAGGATGGTGCCACAGCCAGAGGTGCTGAAGAAGCTGGAGGTGAGCACTGCACAGTGCAGGAGGCTGCGGGGCTGCTGGGCAGATGTGACAGTGGAGTGGGCTTCCTGTCTTCATCCCACATGCCCTGGATGGGACCCTGGAGAAGAAAACACATGGGGAATTGAGCAGAGCAAAAAAGAGGCCTTGGGGTTCATCCTGCTGCTCCTCAGCCTGACTGCATCCAGGGAGACCCTCCATTTGGGACCTGCTGGTACCAGTAGTCAGGTGTCTGGGCTGAATGGTCTTTGTCAAGGAAATGGGGACAAAAGTACAGTGGAGGGTGTGTGGGGCTGTGCACATGGGTCCCCTTGGGGTAGGGGATGTGCCCACCCAGGGTGATGTGGGGCCACATCCAGCTCTTTGCCATGTCCATTGGTCCCTCTCTCCCTCTACAGCCGGAGCTGAAGGAGCAGAAGTGTGAAGCAGCAGAGGGAGGTGAGTTCCCTGGGTGCCCTTTCAGAGGATATACTCTGGAACCTGGGTGCAGGCCGGCACTGTCCCTGTGGCTGCCCTGTCCATGTGCCCCAGGGGAGGGCACACCAGGTCCCAGCATCACAGCGCTATCCCTACACCACTTCTGTCCCCAAACCCCATGTCCTCATTCCAGGCTGGATCCCTGGGGGAGAAGCTCTCAGGGAGGTCCCCCAAGCCTGTCCTTCCATGGGAGAGGTGACCCTTCCTCACCTGCTCCCCTTCCCCAATGATTTATGACTGCTGCATTGCCTGTCCCCCTTCTCCTTCCCAATAAACCTGAGCAGGCACAAAAGGAACTAAACCCCAGGCAAAGCCAAAGAGCAACGATCCAGCCACCCAGAGCACCCTGGCAGCAGTGGAGCCAGCAGTGGCTGAGACGCAGCCCGAGCCAGTGGCCACCCTTGTCCCTTGGTCCCTGGCTGGAGATGGCAGCAGGTAACTGCAGCAGCAGCTTCTGTGTGGATACCTGGCCAGCGGGACAGTGCTGTGGGAGCAGAGGTTCCAGCAGCTGGATCTAACTGTGGTTTCTGGTCACCAGGGTGTTTGCCTGGTTGGTCCAGGGGCTGGAGAAGGTGATGCCTCAGCCAGTGACAAGGGAGAAGCAGGAGGCACAGGTATAGAATCATAGAATCATAGAATAGTTAGGGTTCAAAAGGACCTTAAGATCATCCAGTTCCAACCCCCCTGCCATGGGCAGGGACACCTCACACTCAACCATGTCACCCAAGGCTCTGTCCAACCTGGCCTTGAACACTGCCAGGGACGGAGCATTCACAGCTTCCCTGGGCAACCCATTCCAGTGCCTCACCACCCTAACAGGAAAGAATTTCTTCCTTATATCCAATCTAAACTTCCCCTGTTTAAGTTTTAACCCATTGCCCCTTGTCCTATCACTACAGTCCCTAATGAAGAGTCCCTCCCCAGCATCCCTATAGGCCCCCTTCAGATACTGGAAGGCTGCTATGAGGTCTCCACACAGCCTTCTCTTCTCCAGGCTGAACAGCCTGGGCTGGATAGGCAGAGGGCGTGTGAACACCATATCCCCAGCAGGAAAGGTGTCCCCTGCCATACACATGCCAGTAGATCAGTGCAGTGACCTGATGTGGTTTGGGCTGTCCCATAGCTCATTCAAGAAAACAAATCCCCACAACCCGCTTAGTTAATGAAAACCAGGATTTGGCTTCTCAGCAGCAAAAGCTCCCACAGTTTGTGCTTTCTTTACTGTTTCCTTGCCTTCCCATGCAGCACTGGGTGGTGCCCATGTTCTGGCACCTCACTGGGTTGCAGTCCAGCTCTAAGGAGAAGTCGGGGCTTTGCAGGCTCTCCTTTCCTTCCTTTGCACCAAGGCAAGCTCACTGATGTGCTCCTACCATTTCCCATCATGTGTGAGGATGCTTGTCCCCATGGCCAAGCTAACCAACGTGCACCAAGAAATCATATGGGATATTTAGCATAAAATGCCCATGTTTACTTAAAATGGGGTGTTTAGAGAAAAAAAAAATGGAGTTATTGAAACCCAAAATTCTCATGTTTCCCTTTTCCTCCTGGCAGGGAATGGATGCAGCAACTCTGAGTCCCGTGGAAGAAAGTAAGTGATTGCTCTACCCCACTGTGCTGGTTTGCTTGCTGAGGTTATTGTGAAGGTTATTGTCCTGCAGTCTACTATGGCTGCCATTTCAGGGGCCCAGAGATCCCTGAAATCCCCCCAGGAATCCATAAGGAGCTGTTGCTGCTTGAGAAGTGGGATCAAATCCAGGGTTGTGGCTCAGGCTTGGCAAAACTCAGGCTGTGGGAGTCTCTGAGTGCAGCATCCCTAGTGCTTGGGCCCCAGGTTTTGAGGTTAGTGCTGATATCAATGTCTGTCCTCAAGATGTGCTGGAAGATGATTGCTAAACTGCTGGGATTTGATCAAAGCATTATAGGGAAATTCAAACCTGCTGCCTTCATCACTCCCTTTGGCATGGCTGTTGTACTGGAGGGTGTTTGCCAAGCCTGTGATGACTAAGGAGATAATTTGTGAAAACAATATCCTGTGATTAGTGGTGTTGGATGTGAGTCTGCACAGTGTAGGAAAACATTGTAGGGTTCTCACTGCTACTTGCCTGCAAGCAGTGGGGATTGAGCACTGCAGGCAGATGGGGCTGGCTCTCCACACCAGCTGCCTTGTGGGATGCTGGGAGAAGCAGGAGACATGGCTGCCACCAGGAATGCACAGGGCAAGAGAGATGTCCCACAGGCCTGTACAAGTGCTGCCAGGGAATCTATGTTTGGCTGGGCTGTGGGAGCTGCTGGTGAGAGCAGGGACCTGCCATGGCAGAAGGAGGCTGTGCATACCCCCAGGGATATGTCACGAAGTGGATCCCACCGAGGCAGCAGCTGCTTGGTGGAATCTCATGTGGGACATCCTGCGGGAAGGCATTTCTCCATGTGTCTGTACAAACTGGAGACCAGAGCCTTACCTAGGGAAGAGGCAAAGTCAGTGGGCATATGAGGGCAGTCACGTCTGTGTGCAGCTGGCTGTTTTTCAGCTCCCTTTGGTGCTTTGAGGCATCTTGATGTGCCCGAGGAAGGGAGAGATTTGGTCATCAGGAGATCTGCCCAAACTGCCAGCAAGCTCATTAATGTTTTCCTTCTCCTTTTGTTTCAGGGGGCAAAGGGGCTTAGTGCCTCTGAAACAAATGGAAAATGAAGACCATGGCCAGCCAGCCCTTCCCACAACCCATTGAGACCAACTCGAGGAGAGAGTGCAGCTGGGGAGGAAAAGCAAAGGGCAATCAGCAAATGGTCTCTAGCTCTTTCCCAGCCAGGGTGTCAGGACTGGAGGCTGGTCAGGGATGCTAGCTGTGTGTCCCTGGTCCTGGGACTGTCCTATCTTCCCTCCCTCTTGGCTCTGGGAACCAGAGCTATTGTTTTTGCAGGATGATGTATATGAGACTGGAGCTATAGTTTATAGGAAGGTAGAAATGCACCACTTGGAGGCAGAAAGCCTCTTGCTGCAGCTTCCTAGCACTCCTGGTCCTCTCACTACCCCATCAGGCATGTGAATATTCACCCCTTAGACCTCCAGCTGAAGCTCACAGGTTTCTTTTAGTTGATGGCTGCCTCTGATGTATAACATCATAAAGCTCTTTAAGCTCTCATCAGCCTCTTGCTACTTTTCTTCCATTAACTAGCTGTTTTCTCCCAGTGAGTGGAAAGGGCTCTGGTTTGCAGCCACCAGTGTAGGTGGGTGAGGTTAATCTTCAGGTGTGTAGGTAGGGTTAAAAACCTTTTCCTGAGCTCTCCTTGTAGGAGAACTTACCCCAGACTGTCCTTACCCTCAACTACAGGTGCTTCTGAAGCTCACAGCTCCCCAGATGCAGCATTAACCAAAGCAGCAGGAATGTTCTGGCATGGGAAGGGATCCCCGGGGCTGCCGGCAGCCCAGAGATGTGCAGGGCCTCTGGGCTGGATGGGGTGAGAGTCCTATACCCCAGGGTTTTAGTAAAGACCTTAGACTCACAGAATGGTGTTTGGGTTGGAGGATCCAGTTCCAACCCCCTGCCACAGGCAGGGACACCTCCCACTAGACCAGGTTGCTCCAAGCCCCATCTAAGCTGGCCTTGGACACTGCCAGGGATGGGGCAGCCACAGCTTCTCTGGGCAACCTGTGCCAGGGCCTCAGCACCCTCACAGGGAAGAACTTCTGCCTAAGAGCTCATCTCAATCTCCCCTCTGTCAGGCTAAAGCCTTTCCCCCTTGTCCTGTTCCTTCGAAGCTTAGTAAAAAGTTTTTCTCCATCTTTTGTATAATCCCCCTATTTACACTGAAAGGCCACAGTAAGGTTTCCCACCATCTCTTTGCATCTCTAAGCAGCTGTAACAATGAGCCATGAGCCAACAACCAACCTGAGATCCATCCTATGTGTTTATAATGAACCCTGCTGTTAACAGGCTATCAGTATTTGCTCCATTTTCATATAATGTCTCCAAAGTTATGGCATGTTTTGAAAGTCATCTCCCTGACTGCTGTGCTGTGTTTTAATTAATGGGGATCTAGAGGGAACAGGCTGAAGGCAGCATAGGCACTGTAGGGTGGGTAAATGCAGTGCAGCGCCAGCCATAGGTGTGTTTCCTACCTTTCTCTAGTTGAATTTGTGTATTTGCTATGAGCTTCACTGTGTATATGTAAGTTTTGTTCTCAGGCAGACCTCAAAATAAACTGGTTTTACAGTAAGCGATGTGCTTCCTCCTCTTGTCTCTTTGCTGTGTGCCTGATGTGGTAGCAGGGGTACCCCTGGGACATGTAGAGGGCTCGTCATGTGTCAGGCCTGGGCTCTTCCCTTTGCAGCCTCTCCAGTAACATGCCAGGGACTGGGGCTGCACAGGTCTGTGTGAACTGAGAGGTGTTTCAGTCCTGGCATGTGGCAGCATCTCATGGTTGAGGAGGGAAAACATGGGATCTGCCCTGGCTCTACCACTGGGCTCTTGAAAATGCACTGCTCACTTCATCACCTGCCTTCCCCCATTCCTGTTTCAGTACACATTGTCCCTGAGGAACCCAAGGAGACAGACCTCATCCTGGAAGAGATTGATGGTGGCTGGAGTAATGAAGCCATGTGCGAAATGATGGCCTGGGATGCTGAGGCTGAGATGGTGGCAGATACTCATCCCCTTCTCCCCATACAGGAGGAACCTCAGGAAGATGAAAATAGGTAGGAAGGCAAAGGGAGAGGCTGTTGATGGGCAGCTGTACATGCTTTCTGACCACCAGCATCATGGCCATGGGAGGGGATGAGCATATCCCTGGGTATCCCTCCTTGCCAGTACTGGTGGTGGAGCTCACAGCAGGCAGCTGAGGTGCCTGTTTCCAAAGACAGGGGCATCAGAAGGACCCAAAAGGTGTTTCAACAAATGGCCTTTCCTTCTGGTGCTGAGATTTGGGTTGGGGCAGGCAGTGACAGAGCTGGGATTGCGATGCTTCACTTTGCGTGGCAGAGGACAGCTAAAGGATGATCTTAAAATCATAGAATCACAGACTCACAGCGTGGTTTGGGTTGGAAGGGACCTTAAAGCTCAACCAGTTCCAACCCCTGCCATGGGCAGGGACACCTTCCACTAGAGCTGGTCATTCCAAGCCCCATCCAGCCTGGCCTTGAACACTGCCAGGGATGGGGCAGCCACAGCTTCTCTGGGCAACCTGTGCCAGGGCCTCAGCACCCTCACAGGGAAGAACTTCTGCCTAAGATCTCATCTCAGTCTCCCCTCTGTCAGTTTAAAGCTATTCCCCATTGTTCTGTCCCTACAGGCCCTTTTCCAAAGCCCCCCTGCAGGTTTCTTGTATCCCCTTTAGGCACTGGAGCTGCTTTAAGGTCTCCCCTTAAGGAGCCTTCTCTTCCCCAGGCTGAACCAGCCCAGCTCTCTCAGCCTGTCTCCAGGCAGAGCAGATCCAGCCCCTGGTCATCCTTGTGGCCTCCTCTGGACTTGTTCCAACAGCTCCATATGCCTTTTGCGCTGGGGGCCCAAGAGCTGAAATTTTGGACCTTGTTCCCATCAGTTGTGCATCCAACTGTCATGACATTTGGAAACAGAACTCTATATAATTCACCCTACTTCTTCCAAAACAAAACCCTGTCAAGTTCCTTCCAAGGGTTGGGCAATGTTTTCAAATCTGGGATCAAGCTGCATTGCGGCAGGGGAATGAGAGGTGGCCATGCATGCTTCCCAAGGGCTTGGGAGCCCCCTAAGTTCTCCCAGAGCCTAGAGCACTTGTGGGGAAAGATACGCAGTGGTCTCCATCTCCAGCATGGGCAATGATCAACTGCACTAAGCACAAGCCAGAGCTTCTGCTCTGGTTCCCCCTTCTGACCAGCTGGTCCAGGGTCACCATCTCAGCCAGGCTGTCCCTTCTCCCCTGAAGGACCACGAGGACCAGGACGACCAGTACCACCTACTGGTCCAGGTGGGTCAGGCAGGACAGGATTAACAGGAGGCTCCTCAATATCTTTTGGTCCGGAAACTCCTGATGTTCCTGGGAATCCAGGGAGGCCTGGTTCTCCCCTCTGATTCCTTTGGGTCTAGCAGGCCCTGGGAATCCATAAATTCCTGAAAGACCAAGAAACACTGGACAGGTTATAAAGATGTTTTTCAGACTTCTTTCCCTTTAGTATAGGAGTTTCCGAAGCTGTGGACTACAGCATGTCCTGTGCTGGAGGGTGGATTTTGGTGTTGATACAGGGAGGTTTTGGTCAAAACCAGCAACAAGTGACCCCTAAGCATATCCTGTCCCCATGCTGCAGGGGGAATTCAATAGCTCAAGGACTCTGGTTTTCCATTCCCAAACTCTTTCTCATTCTTTCTCCCACCAGCATTGGGCTGCAGACACTAACAGGCTGTGAGCACTATATGCCCAGAGTACCCAGCTGTGCCCACCCCCCCAGATGCTGCCTGGTGGGTGCAGGGACTGCATGTCTGGGCTGCAGTGCTCCTCCTGCGAGGTTCAGACACACTTTTTGGATTTTGCCTAACGAGTTTCTCTTTCCCAGGGTGTGGTTGTGCTCCCTGAGTGCTGGTGAGGGGGAAGAGGAAACGGAGCAGGATGGGGAGGAAGAGGAGGAGGAGGAGGGGAAAAAGGAGGAGGAGTTGAAGGACAGTGCAGGGTAAGTGGCTCCTGTTGCCTTGATGGCTTTGTTGGGATGAACGTGACTGCAGTTGTTCAGCTGCATTCACAAGCTGGAGAGGCTGAAGCACCCGAGGATGAGGGAAGTGACCCAGCCTCGGGGGGGGAACTGAGGATGCTCTTGGGAGGAGTGATGCGTTCAGGAGATGTGTTTTCAGAAGGGATGAATTACGGAGGGATGCATTTGGGAGGAGTGATGCGTTTGGGAGGAGGGATGCGTTTGGGAGGAGGGATGCGTTTGGGAAGGGTGTGTTAGGGAGGGATGTGTTTGAGAGGAGGGATGCATTCAGGAGCTGTGTTCGGAAGGAATGCGTTTAGGACAGATGCGGTCAGGAGGGATGCGTCAGGAGGGATGCATCCAGGAGGGACATGTTCAGGGGGGATGCATCCAGGAGGGATGTGTTTAGGAGGGGCACCCAGGAGGGATGCATCCAGGAGGGATGTGTTCAGAATGGATGCATTAGGATGGTTGTTTTCAGCATTCAGGAGGGATGCCTTCACCAACAGGCTTGCTCTGGGCTTGCCGCTGATGCGGCACCTGGTGCTGGGCGAGTGTCTCCTGGTGACACAGGCTCTGTCTACATCACCTGTAGCAACCATAGCCCCAGATATCCCCTCCCATGGGTCTGAGCAGGAACTCGGTTTGTTCCTTCCTTGGGAGCACCCAGCTCCTGGAGATGGTCCATGTGATTTAAAAGCACATCCATTAGTCTAGGGCAGTCGGGATGATTATGGAGTTTATGGAGCTGAATTTAAAGATAGGATTATGTGTTGTGCCTGCAAATGCTTCCTGATACAAGCAGGTATAAGTTTACAGTTTTTGCTGTTGTAGAAAACAGCCCAGTTATTGCCAGTGGTTGTAGGTAGTGACTTTTGTCTAGATGGTATTTCAAAAAACCTTTCCACTTAGTTTAGTGGTTCACTCTGATTTCAGATGAGATAAACATTTAGGGATTTGTTACCTAGTGCTACAAAATTATTCTCTGTTAATTCCTCAGAAAGAGCTGAAAACACTCAGCTAGTCATTGTTAAACCCGTATCTTTATGTTTCTTCATAATCTGTTCCTAGAGTTCCACTGGAGATGCTTGAGCTTCAGTTGCTGGGTGAATGAGATGCTGCTCCATCCCTCACTGTGTTTGTTCTTGGGAAAAGAGAGACACTGGCTGGTTTTCTAGATTAGGATAAAAGGCTTGTGATTGCATTTGAAGGGAACATATTTAAATAAAAATTAGGGGGAGGGGGATTATTAAAAATGATTTTAAAAAGACCTTGGAAAATAACAGCTTTTCAAGGCAATGGAGATAAAAGAGAAAAGGAGCCACTGCTTGTTTACATACCTCTTCTGATTTAGGGCCTGCAAAGGATGCAGGAAGATGTTTCTTTGGGTTTTTCAATTTTCCTGCATTTAGCTGTCTTACTATATTTTCATTATCCCCAATCCCTGCTTTGCATTTCTCTCCAGGGAAGAGCACATCAGGAGGTAAACACACAGAATAATGTGATGAGGCTTGGGATTTTTTTTCAGTTATGGTTGTATTAAACTGCTGAAATCTACTTTGTGAGCCCCCTTTGCAGAATGGTGGAGCTGTGGTCTGCATTTGCTGCAGGAGGAAAATGAGGATTATGTATCCTGATAGTATCTTGCATAGGCAGTCTTGGGGTTCAGATGGTGCTTGCAAGGCAGTCCTGCCTTGAAATCAGGCTCTCAGCTTTTTACGTGGCAGATCTTCATTATATGAGAAATCATTCTGCACAGCAGGAGGAACATACTGCCTGTACTTTTCTGCATACGTGATCTTTCCTGATGCATCTGCAATGCCCTGCACTATTTATGCACATCTCATCTGGTCTCCCATGTACTATGTTTTCCAAGTCCTAACCTAAGCAGCAATATTTTGAGTACCATCTTTGTATTAAATGAAGATTTCTGTGGTATTGTCCACCTGCAAATGATGCCCATGGTGCCCCCCAAAACTGGGAGCACCATGCATCAACCCCATGGATGGGATGCCCCATCTGCAACATGCCCAACCTTGGAAAAGGCAGAGCGAGGGCACTTGTCTCTGCTTGATGTCTTCCAGACTCCTGCTCCTATCACCTTGTCTCACTGTTGAGGAGGATGTGGAGGAAGTCTACTTTGCAGAGGAGGCCTTCAGGACTGAGCAGCTGGAAGAAGCTGAGATAAGTGATCTCGAAGGTGCTTTTATACAGGTACAGCATCACTCCCTGCCTGGGCTCAGATCTGCAATAAGCTCTTGCTGCCTGGTGTTTGCCAAGGTCTCACAGCTTGCCTGGAGGAACACGGTGTCCTGGTGAGGAACAGGGAGAGGAATGGACCCTGGAAATGTTTCCCACCAGGACATTATCATCTCTGATCCTGAGACAGCAGCAGTACCTGTTCACCAAGGGAGGGGTGCTTTCACCCTGGAATGGTGGTGCTGAACAACAAGCTGAGAGGCTGGAGAATGACAGGGGGAGGATTAGGGAGATACGGGGCAACAATCGAGATGCAAAGTCTGCTCTCTTACAGAGCAGCTCTTGCTCTGCTTAAAAAGGCTCTTTTCATTTTGAAGGTAGAAGAGGAGACAACTGAAGCTGCTGAAACCGATGCTGAAGGTATATTATATAGCAGCATAAAGGCAAATTAGGATGACTCGAAGCAGGCAATGCAAAGCCCAATGAGGAACAAATCCCACTGCTCCCTCCTCAGGCAGCTGAGTCTCTGCATCATGGCCTGTGTTGGGCAACAGGGCTTTCCATGGGCTTAAAGCATCACATGGGCACCGTGTGATGGCAATGTTGTTAGCAGCTGGAGCCAGCTCTGGAAGGCTGGTGCTTACGTGGTACTTAGTCTTGATTAAGTAATATCTGATGTGAAGGAAGAGTATCTCCTTCAGCTGGAAAACTTAGAGGGGGATAAAAAGGATTTTCTCTACCACTTTACTCAATTTAGGAAGTAACCAGTGGCTTAAAGTGTGTTTTCATAGTAAGGAGGTAAGGGGCTGGTCATGAAAATGGGGTGGTGAACTCCTATCACAGCCTGAGCAAGCACAGAAAGGTCCTGGCACAAGTTCACTGACACCAGGCAAGTTACACAAGGGATGGCTTGACCCGAGCCCTGGAACAGCCTGGAGATTCCTCTGCTCGTGCAGACCTTGCAGAACCTCCTGCTTTTGCAGCAGCGCTAGAAAAGCTCATGGTAGGATGCTCACCACCACTGTCCTGTGCCACCAACATCTGTGAGCAGCAAGCAGCAATAACCTCCCACAGGCCTACGTTTCTCTCCCCTGACATAACCGTCTTGTCTCAAACCACTTTGTGTTTTATTGCAGCTTCAGATGCCTTGTCCCTTGCTTGAAGCACCTAGGCACCTAGCAGCATGGCCAGGCGTGCCCGAGACGTCGAGCTAGATCAGCTGGTGCACGACAAGCCGCTGGCTGTGGGGGATTCCTCCCCTCCCGGCTGCGGTGAGCTAGAGCAGCTCCCCAATGTCCCCAGCTACCGAGCCACCGCTGCCTCCTGCATCCCAGCCTTTGCTGCCAGCAAGCCCAAGGCTGCAGCTGTCAAGCCCAACTTTTGCCATGAGGAGCAACCTCCCCTAGGTATTAGAGATGTCGGCTTTGAAGATGAGCTTGCATAGCTTGAGGGGGCAAGGAGGTATTCCTGTAGTAGTTGCTTTTTGATGAAGAAACATAGTCAAAGCTCACTTAATGTTGCAGCACAGAAGTGGGATAATAGAATTCATGCTTTTTCTGCTTCTGCCTCATCACTATGTGCCTTTCCAGCTAACCCCTAGAGGGCATTTGCAGATACCCATAAATGACGTGTTGTACTTTTGAATTTGCTTGGCCAAAAATTCTCATGAAGGAAATGCTGGCAGAGGGTTAAAGAGCTGCTGAATGCAGTTTTCTCCTTAGCATCCATGCAACCCACTCCTACTAAGAGGACAGCAGGATGGAGGTTTGCTCTTCATGGCTTAACCCAGAAGTACAAATTCTGTAGCTTTGCTTTGCCTTGTTTTAATCAGCGAGCCAAATTCCGCAGCTTTTCCTTACATGCAATATGTTTTTAACTTTGAACCAGAAATAGGTCTTTGTGATTTGGTAGAAATATGCTCTGATCCACTGGTCCCATATTGTGTGGGACAGGAGGGGATGCGTGGGGTCTTTCAGATGTGTGAACCCCCCCTCCCCCATGAAGGAATCCTGAAGAAACTCACTGTATTTGGTTGTATAGCTAAGAAAAGAGATGACATTTTGCAGTCTGGCTGGCTGTGGGGTCTTGCCAAGATAACCCCCGGCACCGCTTCCCCCTCAGGCAATTGGCATCTCTCTTTTCCCCACTATAAACATCCAACCTTCCTTCTTCTAAATCTGCAGGTTAGAAGCAGATATTACCTCTGCAAAAGAGAGACCATAAGTGCTTATTTATATAGTCCCTTATTCTGCATGAAAAGCAAATGCTCATGTAATTAGGAGCTTGCATGATCCATATGTTTATGTTCAGAAGACCCCGGAGGGAGGTTTGCAACTGGAAATCCTGGGTTCCTGTCTGACACCTGCAGCTGGTAATCATTGTCTCCATCGTGTTCCAAATCATGGGAACCCAATGCTTGAACAGAGTAGTTACAATCACTGCAAGCTGGGAAAGCAGAAGGGGAGCAAGTGGGGAAAAAGATAGAGAAATGCTAGAAAGCACTAGGAGAAAGGAGTGCCAGTTGAGAAGGGAATGGGGGGAAAGGAGAGGCCTTCTGGAATGTTGTGAGGTTTGGAGGCAGCTCCATGGAGGCAATGGGCTTTGGGGGTTCTGGGCCTGCACCCTTCTCACCTGCCATTATTGTCCTTCTTCACGGGCCAGGTAATTACCCCACTGTGGACATCAAGAATGTGGACAGTAGAAGTAACACTGTAGAGGACAATCGGAGCCACTTACCAGTGCCCACCGCTGCCATTAACATGCTGGCGGTGCCCAGAGTGGCTCCAGCATCCCCCAGGTATGGCTCTGCCCCGACACATGTGTGGGTCCCGGGGCTTTAACTCCTGAACAATGCCAGTACAGGAGATTTCGTACAACTGTATGGAGCAACCCGCTCCTGGCCGGTTTGGACAGTAAGCCCTGTCTGTGTGTCCTCCTGGAGGTGGGCTCGATCCCCAGCCTGTGGTCAGATCCCATTTTTGTCCCACACATCTGTGCTCCCAAATTCATAGTGCAGAGGGTCTGTGTGCTGCCTATGGCCCTTCATCATAAATCCCAACACTTATCTCCTTCTATGTTTCCTGGAAAAAATTGCAGCATATCCCCTTTAGGTTTGTGCCTTCAGATCAAGGATACTCAGAGAGGTGGAGGATTAATGAATAGGGCAGAGTATTCTTCTGAGATGGAGAAGTCCACCAGGTGAGGCTGTGTAAGTCCTCTCTCCCTGGGATGTGTGACTTTGCTGCAGATATTCATCCACCTCTGAATCAGGATCAAGGTACTGGCTTTCTGTTATGGCTTCAACCAGCATAGAAAACAGACGATTCATATTAACACCCATGTCATGCATCCCAGAACATCTTGGGCATCTTTGGAGCCCATGATCCAGCAACCCAGAGGCACAACCTTAGTTTATTTAAAACCACTTACCTATGTACAATTCTGTCCCCAGCATACTTTTTTTATCAAGTCTTTCATCAAGGTCTCATTGTGGCCTTTTGATATGTAAGGGAAGGCTTATAAGAAAGATGGAGAAAGACTTTTGACAAGGCCTGTAGGATAGGGACAAGGGGGAATGGCTTTAACCTGACAGACGGGAGCTTGGGTCTTCAAAGAAACTTTCTATGCTCCTATGGTTCCCCACAGAGCCATTTTTTTTGAACACCTCAGTTCTCTCATGCTATTTTCTACCAGTTTCTTAAAGCAGGTTGTATATTTGCAATTACATGTATGAGCACATGAAACTTTCTGCTGTGCCTCTAGGTAGTATCTCTCAAGACAACACTGGAGGTCCCTTCCTTGAGCTGGAGATGTTTAAAAGCAATCACCTCCTATTTTGCTACATCAAAAAGTAAAATTTCAGCCTTCTGAACCAGAAGGAAATGCTTGCCTTCTTGGGGATGTTTGTTGTCTTTTACATCCATTAATCTGAAGCAAAAAGAGGCATCTTTTCCCACATGGATGTTGACACATAAAACTTTGCATGTACTTGGAGGGCAACCACATGAGCTCTGTGGCCTATGGGGAGTCATGCCACAGGCCAGGAGGGAGGTAGCGTTACCCTTTCTGCAGGGTCCTCATTATAGAGCAAGAGGCCATTAAGCTGTTGATGTAGGCATCTTGGGCTTGCTTATGGATGAGGATGGGCAATGGGGCAGCATGATGCCTCAATGGGACAGAGCCAGGGGGACAGTGGCTGGAGACCGATGAGAGGTGATGGATGATGTCCTAACAACATCACAGATCTTAGCAGGACTTTTACTCTTAAATTATGTGGGTTTGGGAACCTCTCCATCCACGTCTGAGGGTGCTTTGACATGGGGGTTGGGCTTGTTCATCTGCTCCCCTTCCCAGCAGGGCATGCCCAAGAGCAGATGGGGCTCATAACATCCAGCTTTCTTCAGGAGATCTGTGGTGGCAGGATGACCTCCCTCAGGATCCTGCTTGCTCCTGCTTCACGTGCACGCTGAGCCATTTTGCACCAGCATCAGTGAGATCCTGGTTAATTTAGAGCAGCTGTTGTGGTGGCAGAAGACAATTTCTGTTGTTGCAGTTACAACTCTGGACTTGGCTGCAGGCTGCAGTCCAGATTTTTGCCATGATTGTCACCTTCACATCCACCTCTTCCTTCTGCCACTTTGATCACCCACAATTAAGGAAGTTGTCCCTGAAAGCTGTCTGTACCAAAGGGAGCCACCAGCTGTGTTAGCACACATCTTCCAGGAAGACATCAGCTGCCACTGCTTCAGCATCAGCAAGACAGTGTTCATAGGGCTCCTTGTGAACCTCTTGAAGCCGCTCTCAGCAAGTTGAACTTTACACTTGGCTTTGGAGGTATCAGCAGCAATTGAAGGGTCCATGTTATGTACCTGCTGTTCTGCAATTCACTTTGTCTTGGGGATTTCAGGTCCTATGGAGCCATCTCAGAGCTAGGCAGTGTCCCTAGAACCTTCTCTTTTTTCCAGTTTAATTTCCTTGCTCCACCTTACTGCTATTGCATTTCCCTTGCCCTCTTCTCAAAGTACAGTGGTGTGATGGTGCAGCAGAGGGGACAAGTACAGACTGGTGCCTGTCTTCTGTGCATCTTGCTGGGTGTCCAAAATGGGTTGAAAAATGGTCTGCATGGTTCCCAGGAAGAAACAGGGGTTTAGCAGCAAAAGAGCAGAGTGGTTTGTTCTCATTTACTTCAGGCAATGCCAAACAATGGGGTAACACTGACCCCAGTTGGAGAAGGGAAAGTGGAAAATGGATGAGACCTGGGAGGAGGAAGAGGAGCTGGATGAGGATGGGGGAGAATCTAAGCCTCAGCTGCTGTGTTTGTGACCACAGGAGGAAGCTGCTGGCCCCTGAGGATGGTCTGGAGGAGGGACCCATGAGCCAGTCCCCAAACCAAGCACTGCTGGGCTGTGATGAGAAGCAGAAGGAAAGGTGTGTGGTGGGGCTGAGAGGCTCCTGATGAGCCCCAGGGGTTCAGATCCCAGTGCTCTGATGGGAAACAGCAAAGACCCTAGGAGTCCTGGGATACCAAAGGGAGAGGGAGCTGCCTTCTCTGGGAAGTAAAGGCTTGGGGAACCTACACCTCCTCATAGAGCAGGGATTTTCTTTCTTCCTGAGAAGAAATCATTGTGCCACGTAACACAATGAACCAGCCTGGAGCTACAGCAAGCAGGCTTATTTCTGTCCTCCCTCCTAGTGATGGTCCTTGGCCATGCTAGGTGAGCATCCTGGTTTGAATCAATCATAGAATCATGGAACCCTCGAATTGTGTGGGTTGGAAGCGACCTTAAAGCTCATCCAGTTCCAATCCCCTGCCACAGGCAGGGACACCTTCCACTAGACCAGGTTGCTTCAAGACCCATCCAACCTGGCCTTGAACACTGCCAGGGATAGAGCACTCACAACCTGGTTTTAATAAAGAGGCTGAACAGAGACAATACAGTTTGTAAATTCAAGGGCTTGGTGCATATTTTCATCTCGTAGTTCTTCCAAAATCATCCTCTCCTAATCAAATGCAATCCAGCATGGGATCTTGGTGCTTCTTAAGTCCTTCTGAGGGCGAGAATGAAGTTTGGGGTGGTGCTGTTTGACAGCATCTTACTGAAACCACCTTAGCTTGTGTTATTCTGATCACACAATAACCAAATAAATATGGGTAAATCCTAAACCAGAATCCTGTAGGTTAAAAATGGGTCATGAACCTGCCCTTGACCTTTCCTACCTACATGAGATGCCTGGTGGTTTGCCCACAGCCTGCCCGAGCGCATTGGTTCAGCCACAAGCCTGAGCAGTGCTGTCATCAACAACCGGCTCCAGGAGCTGGTGAGGCTCTTCAAGGAGAGGACGGAGAAGGTGAAGGAAAAGCTGACTGACCCCGACATCACCTCAGATGAAGAGAGCCCAACGGCATGTGAGTTCGAGTGGGGCTTAGTCCCCACACATGCTGTGTTTTAACCTTTTTAACAGGTTAACACATTGCAGCAAGAAGGTTTTCTGCTCTTTCAAATAACTGTGTGGCCTCTCCCAGCTCCCGCCAAGCCGGCACTGCCAGCAGCACCAGTCCCTCCCCCAGGAGCGCAGCCAGAGGGGGAGAAGGTAGCAGAAGAGGAGCACTACTGCGAGATGCTGTGCTGCACGTTCAAGTACCGGCCCTGGCTGGACCTCCTGAGAAACTACCAGTTCCCCAGCAGCATTGACCCACTCACGAGTGAGTGATGGAGCACAGCCACTGGGCTGGTGGGGCAGCCAGAAATGGTGAGGAGGGGAGGAGGTGTGAGAGATGAGACCTTGTAGAGCAGGAAGGTCAACTAAGCAAGGACCAACTTACAAATGTCTGCTAAAATCCAGTCTTAAATTCCCCTGCAAGGCACAGGCTTTCCTAAGTACTTCCCCTTAGTTATAGGTGTCAGGAGCATGACCAGGCAGTGGAGGAGCAGCAGCTTTCTGCTGCTTTTCAGGCTTTTTATTAGGCAAACACTGTCCTTGTGATGTGGACATCCAAAACAAAACTAAAAATCACAACAGAAAAATCCACTGTCTGGGGACACCCCACAGGAGCTGAGCTCCTTCCAGGGTCTGCTGTTTCCCAACCATTTCACAGCTCTCAGGCTCTGGCAGGTGGCCATGTGCTCAGCACAGCCTGAGGAGGGAAAGAAAATCAAGAAAGTCAAGAGCAAAGCAAAAGAAACCCTACTTGATTCAGCAGAATTAGAAAAGGCTTTGTGACAAAAAGCAGTGTGCTCTGCAGCTGGTGGTATTCACTTTGCATCTAGAGCCCAGCTCACTTGAAATTAAATGCTGTCAGTATTCAATAGAGACCTCTTGCAGGTTTCCCTGTGGCACTCGGGGCAGGACAAGGGAATGAAAAGCCCTCTGTGTACCGGTTTCCCATAGATGATGGACACGGGCCCCACTAATTGCAATGTGATTCCTGTCCACAGATCTGATGTACGTGCTGTGGTTGTTCTTTGTTGTCATGGCCTGGAACTGGAACTGCTGGCTGATCCCTGTCCGGTGGGCTTTCCCCTACCAGACGCCAGCAAACATCCACTGCTGGCTGTTCATCGACTACCTCTGTGACCTCATCTATCTGCTTGACATCCTCGTCTTTCAGACCCGGCTGCAGTTTGTCCGTGGGGGAGATATAATAGTGAGTGGCAGGGCTGCATCCCAGTGCTGGGGACCGGCTGGGGGACCCTTATCGCCCTGACCAACATGGGTGCTGCTGCTCCATGATCTCTGAGTCAAGCTTTCCCACCAGGGCTCTGTCTACCCTTGGAGGACTGCAAGCATCTCTCCTGCCACGTAGTGGATAAGCTGGAAGAATTTTTTTGCCCTAAAGTCAAAAAGTCATTTTTGCTCTGAAGTCAACACCAGCCTATCTAGAAAGCATGTGAGGTCCATGGCAGCCCCATTCCTTTGTAGGAATGCTTAGAGGATGCTGCTCCATGGAGCAGTGCTCCCAACAGTGTGGTGCTAACCGTGAGCAGATGGCATGATAAATGTGTTTCATACAAAGGAGCACAGCTAGGCAGAATGCATTAGCAACATGACAAAAGCGATTGCAATCTGAATGCACAGATCATGCACCAGAGATAAGTGAAAGCCTCTGAATCCATTTCCATACCCAATTAAATAAGCTGGGAAAAATGAGACCTTCAGGGTACAGCCTTCCCATGGCCCACAGCAATGGTCAGACTTGTAAATCTGATTTCTGTGGCACTAGCATTGTGATGTACTTTCTCTGGGATGCAAAATGAGCATGGGATGTCCCAAGGTGGGATGGGAAGCTGGTATACAGCCAGGTCTTCTCTTGGCATGGCCAGGATGGTCATGCCTGGCTTTCCTCTACTGCTCCTCTTGCTCTGCTCCCTTTCCTGGGCACAAAGGGAACATCTTCCCTGTTGCAGAAGAGAAAAAGTCAGGCATGACCATGTTGGCCACAACTTTCCTTTCTGTAAGCAATGATTAACGTTGCTCTCTCTCTCCTTCCTCTGCCCAACCAGAGTGATAAAAAGGCCATGAAGGAGAACTACATGCGATCACAACGCTTTAAGGTTCGACGTCATTTTACATACAAATCTGAATTTTCAGTGTGAACAGTGGCTTGCAGCTCCCCCCCCAACCATGTCTGAGGGTCCTCACAGGGGTTCCTCTTTTTGTGTGGGTTTCAGATGGATATGGTGTGTCTCCTGCCCCTGGATTTCTTCTACTTCAAAGTTGGTGTCAACCCACTCCTGCGCTTTCCTCGCTGTCTGAAGGTAAGTCTGAGCTTACAAAACCAGGCAGAACACCAGCTGCAGTGGATGTAGAGTACCATGCTGATAGGGGTAAGCTGTGGCTTGCTACAGTCATAGATGATTGCAAGAGGGTTGTAAAATGGATGGAAAGTCTTGCCCCAACGGCTTTTGTGGATCTGTTGGTCAAACACTTCTTTCCAATCCTAAAACATGCTCACATGTGAGTAGAGGGGGACTCAGATGGAACCAAATCTGTTTGTGGCAGTTCAAGCTGCAGAAGGACTGCAGGAGGTGGGAGTGGGGTCTTACAGAGATGTAACTCTCCTGGTGGGGGTCACAAGAAGATGGAGCACGCTGAAGCATGCTGCTTTCCTTCTCCAGTACATGGCCTTCTTCGAATTCAACAACCGCCTGGAGGCTATCCTGACCAAGGCATACATCTACAGGTGAGGGGAAGAGAGGGAGGAAGAGACTGTGGAGTTGTTGTTTGCTATTGGGAAAAAAGGCTTGCTTTGGTGTGCACCCATTCTGGGTTCCTGATTTATTTTCCCGCTATCCCTGAATGTCCCTACCCGATATAGGTGTTACTTGATGCAGGCGGGACGTGGGTTCCTGGAGCTGTGTGGGTCGGATTCCCTGTGACTGGGTTGCTAATGGTGAAAAGCAGCCACCAGTGGACAAGCTGCTTTTTCTGCAACCTGTGGTGCTGCAGGAGGGAGCAGCAGGGCTGCACACCTGAGTACTCTGTGGTTCCTGCACTTGGCTCATCGCTTAGAAGATCCTTGTGATGCTGGGGGTGTTCTGACATGTTTCCCAGCAGACACTGTATCACGTCCCTTCCTGTTCTCTTCTTTTTTGTTTGTTTTGCAGAGTGATTCGGACCACAGCCTATTTACTGTACAGCTTGCATGTGAACTCCTGCCTCTATTACTGGGCATCAGCCTATGAAGGACTGGGCTCTACCACCTGGGTCTATGATGGGGAAGGAAACAGGTACCAGCCAGGGCTTGGGTCCTCACATAGCACAGATTGCTGTGATGAGCTGGAGTAAGAAGGGAGGTGTTTGGATGCAGCTGGCTTCATAAAAAAAAACAACAAAGAAATGCGTTGCAGGTACCAGGTGATGTGGAGCCAGGGAGAATGATGGGGACAGGAAGGGTGGGATGTGCAGTAATATAAAATGCTGCAAGATAAAGAGGCTGCAGTTAGGCTGAGATAGGAGACAATGGCAGGTTGAAAAGACTGAAAAACTGAGAACCTGATGCTGGGAAGCAAGAGAATGATCCCTGGCTGAGCAGGATGCAAGGGACAGATCTGTTCCTGTTGACCTGCTGCCAGGCTTGATGCTGTGTGTCCTTGGTGCCCTGTGTCAGGCCCTCAGACAAGACCATCGCTCTCATCCCCAGGGTGTGAGACAGGGACAGTGGCCACCCCTCACCATGGCATTTCCAAGATATACGTATTAAAAGTCTGTTGTGTTGTGAGTGATGGGTGCCACAGGAAGAGCACTTAGCTCATGAGCTGAGCACCACCTCAAAGCAAATGCCTACACTGACTGTTACACAACACAGGCATAATATGATCCTGAGTAACATTCAAATGAGAGTTTCCTGCAAAAAGGCATGGGCAAGTGCATTACAGACTTACTGCGAGGTGTGGGTGTAGTTGGGGACAAGTGACTGTCACCCCTGCAGCCCTAGTAAGGGTGTTGCCTTCCCTTCAAGCACTCAGCTCAACATGTTAACGTTGCTGTTATATAGCTATTTGGTATGATATACACATCTGTATCTATCTCTAAGTGTAACTATAGCATCCAAGGGAGTGCCCAAGACCGGTGAATCAAGATTCCACTTGACACCTCTGGAGTCCCATGCCAACAAGTTGCTCACAAATTCTTCCCCCCCCCCCCCTTTCTAAAAGTGTAAACGTTGCTGGAAAAATGTTGCTGGTTTATGGTAGTGGAGCTGTAAGAGCAGAGAATGGGAATAGCCAGAGCAGCTGAGCCTCCCATTCTGAGGTTTCTGGAGGGGTCCCTACATGCTCCTGCTCCTGCAGCATCTGCAGGAGCACCTGTGGGTGTGGTGGAGAGTTTGCAGCCCCTTGATTTTCCCCTTGTCACCCGTAATTACTCTCAGCAGGCTCTGGCTTGCCATGGCCAGAGGATGTGAGCTCGGTAGTGAGGGGAGAAACAGGCCTTCATGCCAGAAATACCTTCAAAACTGCCTCCTCTTTTCCTCCCAGCTACATCCGCTGCTACTACTGGGCAGTCAAAACCCTCATCACCATTGGGGGCCTGCCGGACCCCAAGACACTGTTTGAGATCGTCTTCCAGCTGCTGAACTACTTCACGGGTGTCTTTGCTTTCTCCGTCATGATAGGGCAGGTGAGCAGGAGTCCCGGGGACTCCCAGCCTCCACTGGGGAAGGTTTTGGTGGGGTTGGTCCACAGGTTTGCATCTCTGGGTTTGTTTTCCCCATCGATGACCTGCTCAGCATCTGTGGAAGACAAAAAGGGTTTGGCAGATGCTGTTAGGACTCAGCAAACATGCTCTAGATTGCTTAACAGGCTGACAGGTTAAGTGACAGCAACTAAAACATCTCTTCCACCTCTTCCTCCCATCCAGATGAGAGATGTGGTCGGTGCCGCTACCGCGGGGCAAACATACTATCGGAGCTGCATGGACAGTACCATTAAGTACATGAACTTCTACAAAATCCCCAAAACTGTTCAGAACAGGGTGAAAACGTGGTACGAGTACACATGGCATTCGCAAGGCATGCTAGGTGAGCTCCAGCTACTCCAAGGACCCACACATGCACTGCTGTTGCTGTACAGAGATGAAATGTTACTGTCAAATAGTACTGTGGTCATGGGGAGGGGGTGGCTTATTTTACTCTTGTTTGCCCACCTATATAGTATCTAGGCTGCCATCAGGTTGTGCATCACCCATAGAGCACCAAGTCCAGCATCCCACCAGCTGGTCTCTGGGGAGTGGGCTGTGACTAGCAATTGCTGGCCAGAGAGTGTCTAACAGCAAACCCATAAGCCCACCTGAATAGTAATTCATAAAAACGCAGAATCATTCAGTTTCAACCCCCTGCTAAAGGCAGGGACACCTTCCACTAGACCATGTTTCTCCAAGTCCCTGGCCTTGAACACTGCCAGGGATGGGGCAGCCACAACTTCTCTGGGCACCCTGTGCCAGGGCCTCAGCACCCTCACAGGGAAAAAAATTCCTTATATCTAACCTAAATCTCCCCTGTTTCAGTTTAAACCCTATTTCTTGGGCCCTATCAGTGCAGTCCCTGATGAAGAGTCCCTCTCCACCATCACTGTAGACCCCCTTCAGATACTGGAAGGCTGCTCTAAGGTCTCCCCTTAAGGAGCCTTGTCTTCCCCAGGCTGAACCAGCCCAGCTCTCTCAGCCTGTCTCCAGAGCAGAGCTGCTCCAGCCCTCACAGCATCTCCATGGCCTCCTCTGGACTTGCTCCAACAGCTCCATGTCCCTCTTGTGTTGTTGCACCAGAGCTGGATGCAGGACTGCAAGGGGGGGGGGTGTCTCCCCAGAGCACAGCAGAGGGGGAGAATCCCCTCCCTCGAGCTGCTGCTCATGCTCTGGGGATGCAGCCCAGCACACTGGGGGATCTGAGCTGAAGCGGACACTGAAGCCAGGTCATGGGGAGCTTCTCATCACCCAACACCCCTAAGTTCTTCTCTGCAGAGCTGCTCTGCAGGATGTCTCTGCCCAACCTGTAGCTGTTCAGGCAGGACCGCTGCAACCACCATCCTGGCCAAGAAAGATGCAGCTTGGACTCATTGGTCTGTGTCCAAGAGCCATCATGGCAGAGATAACGTGAAGGGCAGCTCTCCATCACTCACTGGCTTTAGACCTGCAAGTTGCTTGGTTGGTAGAAGCCACAGAAGACCCTTCTGGGCAAGCCTGTTCCTGTCCTCTGCCACCAGAACATGGGCTGCTTTCCCACTGCCACACCAAGGGCATGATCTGGGATTAAATGTGGGAAAGATCCAGTGTTCTGCTTTCTCCCACAGATGAGTCAGAGCTGCTGGTGCAGCTGCCAGACAAGATGAGGCTGGACATCGCTATTGATGTGAACTACAGCATCGTGAGCAAAGTGGCTCTCTTCCAGGTAGCTCCTGCAGCGTGGTTTCTGCCTGGCACAGCCTGCCATGCTGGCACAGACTAACCATGCTGCTGGCTTTGTTTCTGCTAAGGGCTGCGACAGGCAGATGATCTTTGACATGCTGAAGCGGCTCAGATCCGTGGTCTATCTGCCCAATGACTATGTGTGTAAGAAGGTAATGAGATGCTAAAGTGCCTTCCAATCCCCAGTGTCATGGCTGGGCTATGCAGGAGCACTAGCCTGCGCTAGGAGCAGTGCAGAGTGGGGGAAAGCAAGGAGGCCTGGCCCATCACCATGGCATTGAGCCACTTCACAAAGCAAAACCATCCTCCTTTGCAGCTGGTCTTGTGCAAAGTCTGACCTCTTCTGCTGCAGCCATGAACACCAGGAGAGCAGGGAGAGATTTTGGGATGCTTAGATGAGGATGCTCAGGAGTGAGCACCATCAGGAAAAAGCATTTGGAGAGTTTGGAGAGGGCAGCATGGTCATGGGGGTTTCCAGCAAGACACAGGTTAGGGCACCCATAAATTCTCCCTGTTTGTGGGCACCCCACACAGCACCTATCTTCATTGCAGGGAGAAATTGGCCGTGAGATGTACATTATCCAGGCGGGACATGTGCAGGTGCTGGGGGGACCTGATGGCAAAACTGTGCTGGTGACTCTGAAACCTGGATCTGTGTTTGGAGAGATAAGGTGAGTGAAGCATTCCCACGGAGCCAGGGGAATACAGCTTGTGGGCTCTGGGTGAGGAAGGTGGGAAGCGGAGAGATCAGCAGCACCATAGTTAATCCCTGTGACTGAGAGCCACGAACACTGAGTAGTGTCTGCTACACAAATTACAGCTTGTTTTCTTGGATCTTGTATATTTTTGTGCTGTTTTCTGCCTGGAGAGTTAGTGACAGTAAGCAGAGGTTTATGGAGAGGTGGGAAAATAAGCAAGAAAACATATTTCCCTAAACCAGACCCCCATCTACACATTTCCTGAGCATGTAAAGTCCTGCACCAATAGCACAGTGACAGAGGTTGCCTCCGTACAGCCCAGCAGACACCAGACTAGTGTAAAATGCCATATTTAAACCTTCAAAAAGGCAAATCCTTTTTTATATGGCTCTCCTTGCCAATGTTTCTATCACTGTTTAAAAATTGGGCTTGCAGTATTTCGTTGGGGGTGAAAATTAAACTTGAGTCCTCTGAACGATAGAGATCAAGACATGCAAAGGGAGATTTTCTTTAAGCCATGCTCAATAACAGCATTGACGTCTCATTGTGTCTCTCTCAGCTTGCTGGCAGCAGGAGGGGGCAATCGCCGAACAGCAAACGTCATTGCTCATGGCTTCGCCAACCTTTTCATTTTGGATAAGAAGGACTTGAACGAGATTTTGGTGCATTATCCAGAGTCTCAGAAGCTGCTGAAGAAGAAAGCCAAGTGCGTGTTGAGCTGCTGCTTTCTAGCCCATGGGGTTTTCAAAGTAAAACAGAGAAGGAGTTTCAACATCACAGGGGTGATCTCTTTGTGTGCAAAGCCCTGGGAAAGCTCCTGCTGCAGGCATTAGGCATGAGTCCCAGGTGGAGAGTGGGGCTGGAGCTGCTACATCACAGCAAGGAGCCTGGAGATGCTCAGAGCCAGCCTAGCCCTGCTGCAAAGCATCCTTCCCATACCTAAAAGGGCTACAAGGCTGCTGAAGAGGGGCTTTGGACAAGGGCCTGTAAAGAGAGGACAAGGGGGAATGGCTTTAACCTGACAGAGGGGAGATTGAGATCAGCTCTTAGGCAGAAGTTCTTCCCTGTGAGGGTGCTGAGGCCCTGGCACAGGTTGCCCAGAGAAGCTGTGGCTGCCCCATCCCTGGCAGTGTTCAAGGCCAGGTTGGACAGGGCTTGGAGCAACCTGCTCTAGTGGAAGGTGTCCCTGCCTGTGGCAGGGGTTGGAACTGGACGAGCTTTAAGGTCCCTTCCAACCCAAACCAATTTGATCCTATGGTGATTCTATGATTCACTGCTAAAAGTGAGTGCAACTCGGGAACAAACAATGTGCATTCATTAAAAAATAAATTATTCATATACATAAAAATTTATAGTTTTAGAACCACTTAGATTTTTAGTCCTGCCTTCGTAAGTCATAAAAAAATACTTTTTTTAAAAAAAGCCTGCTTTTTCTGCATTATAAAACCCAGCTAATATAACACATCCCCAGACTGAAATCATCTCTCTTTTTCCTTGATGTAGGAAAATGCTGAAAAGCAACAATAAACCCAAAGATGCGAAAGGAGTCCCTGGAGACTCGCTGATCATCCCCCCAAAACCTGACACCCCAAAGCTCTTCCAGGCTGCTCTGGCTGCAGCAGGGAGGATGGGGGGCAAAGGGCCGCTGGCACAGCTCCGCTGGAGGCTGAGGGAGCTGAAGGCAATGCAGGCGATGCAGGTCAGCATGGGGAGGATGAGTGTGGTCAAGGTGCCTTAAAGGAGTGAGCTCAGGTTATTGGGGTCTGAGGTGGTGTGGGCAGACAGGACGGGGGGGTTCAGCATCTCACACATGGCTTTGGGAGAATGCTGTTGTCCCACAGGGGGTTGTTTTGCAGCACAAAAGGGAAATACATTGACTTTTTGCCCAGCTATGCTAAGCCTGAGCCTAATTTCCAGCTGAGCTATAGCCACAGATGCACATATCTTCTGTGCCGCAGAGACAGAGCCAGTCATAGGGAACTGATGTGCTGGCAGGACAGGGGTGATGCTGGCATCCAGCACCCATAATATTTGACATTCAATCAATATTTGCAAAGCTCTGGCAGCACGGCAGTGGCAGAGCCCCCAGCAGCAGACACACTGGCCTGCCAGATCTGCAGGAGCTGCCTTGAAAAACCCCTTTGCTGGTTTGTCATAAGCAACCGAAAGAGAAAATGGCCCTGCTCTATTTTTTTCTTTCCTTTCTTCCAAATGTCTCTTTTAAACTCATAAAAGAGACTGTATCTCCATGCAGACCTTATTGTGGCTCTTATCAGCATGGAGTTACGAAGACTATCTGGGGTGTAAAGGGAGGTGAAAGAGCAGCTGATATGGAGCATGCTATGGCCTGGTAGATGCCCATACCCAGGTAGATGCTGAGCATATCTGCACCTCTACAGAGGCTTCACACAACAGAGTGCTCAGCACTAACAACCAGTCGAAGGCAGCAATGAACAGCGGCACTGTGTGCTTCATGTGCTAGTGGCAGCAAGACCCGTATTAGGAGCTAACCCTTCTAATGGGTTTAGGAGGACCCTGCTAGAAGGACACCCCTCTCTGTGGCACATCTGTTAGTAAGGTTTCTGAAGCTCCTCTCCAAAGGAGGCCTTAGGACAGGGCTGCTCACAGCAGCACTTCTGACAAGCTCTTGTGTAAATCAGCCCCCCTCGGTGCTTCATGAGCAAAACAAGGTCAGGAGGTGTAGTAAAGCTTTGCTGCACTCATCTCTCAAGATGTGCAGGATAGACTTCAGCTGCCCTTGTCTCAGAGATCATACTTGGCAGCAAGCTGACATCCTGATGTGAGGTCCAGTGTGGTGAAGCTCCACAAAACACTGGCTTTGCACATCACTGATGCCATGGCTGTGGGAGTGGACAAGGGTCTGCTAAGCTTCATTCTGCCTTTCTCTTGTTTGTTTATTTCCTTGGATCACAGGATTCCAGATTAAGTCCAACCCCGCCAAAATCACCAGTGCATCAGAGGTCACCTGTCATCTCCCACAAAGCACGCACCCACCTGGGAGAAGAAATATTCTCTAAATCATCTGATAGTTTAGTCACTATTCGTGTGATTTCCACAGCACAAGAAGATGAAGAGATCCTTGCTGCTGAGATTTCAGGGCAAGAAGAGGAAAAAAAAGATAAATGAGAACCAAGCATGTCCTGAGGCAGGAGTTAGGAGCTGTAGCTGTAGGCTTCGCTAGGTGCTGCGGATAGGATCTGCATTTCCTTTCAGCCTAGACCTTCACTCACTGCTGATAAAACCCTCTGTCATATGACCCAAAATCATACAAGGTTTCTGAGCTCTGAAACCTGAGCATCTTTATGAATATTCCCACTAAGTCTCAGGCCAGCCCTCTTGCTTCGAAATCCAGCCTTGCAGAGAGGGAGCCCTGAAGAAATTGCTTTTTATGGCTCTGGGTGGTTAATGAGTATTCAGGTGAAGCGTGAAGAATTCTTTGCCTCTGACAGCTGAGTCACAGCTTGGTCCAAAGCAACCAGGGGAGATAAACAACAAGGTTTCTCTCTTGGGCTTAAGGTAGTCAGGAGCAGATGGAGAGTGATTAATTCAAGAAGGATGTGGACTATGCTCACAGGCCGAGCACAGATCCACTGTCACAACACCACCGAGGTCTGTCCTTGTGTGCATGGACTGCAAGATGCTTGAGGGTCCCTGTGTGGTGCCAAGACTGCCTTGGGTTTCCTGCTGGGAAGAGGATTTCCTACCGGGAAGAGGATTTCCTACCAACCATTCATCCCAGAGAGGAGATGGGCTCTCCATAGCTGGTGGCTGTTATGGAGAGATGTGATGAGCACCTTTCACAGATGGAAAAGCACGATCCTGGATGAGAAGGTGTTTCTGGAGATCCCTGGGTTCCCATAGGTGCACCAGCTGGGAGGGATAAACTGAGTGCAGGAAAGGAGAAACCCTATTGGTTTACAGCTGGGTCAGGAAAGTGCAGTGCAGAATGTGCTCTCCTCTCTCAGCCAGTGTCTCAGAGTCAGGTCAGAGCCCATAGTGTGCAAGCAAGAGTGCACAAGTGTGCAGGTGGTCCCCTGCCTCATTGCTGAACCTCAGTGACCTACAATATCTCCAGCAGCCAATTTCCAGCCTTTTTGGTCACTTGGTTGACTCTTGGCCACATTTTCTGAGGAGAAGCCATGAAGAAGCAAGACTCTGGTCTTGCTCTTGACTGCAACAGGGCACTTGTGAAGGCACTTTCCCAAGGGTGCTGGATGGAAAGGTGAACACCTGGTTAGCAGCCAGCTTGCCCAGCTGACAGCTCAAGGTGTACAGTCTTCCCCCAGCACCACCAGTTCCCCATCTTCCTCAAACCCAGAACCAACTGCAGCAAGCTTCGTGTGAGCTGAGAAGTGGCAAGAAGCGGTGAGTGAGACAGTGCCACCACACATGGGGATGATGCAGATCCACCCCAAGGTTTCACTGGCCACATCTCCAACTGGCACCGCTGGCTCTGTCAAGAGGAGCCTGTTTCCACCCTCTGGAGGAGAAGCAGGGGCAGATTTTGCCACAGGGAGCAGTCCCAGCACCACAGCTGAGGGAATTCCCAGCAAACACTATGAGTGTTTGCACCAGTGCTGCAGGTTCCACAGGTCATTCCATGGAGCAGCCAGGGTGCTTGTGAAGCATTGGGTGATGTCTGTTCCCACCAGCAACCTGGGGCTGATCTTCACCTCCTTCAGGGTTCTCTTAAAAAGCTGTGTGGTTTTTTTGCCCTCCCTTGGAAAACAGATGGGTTTCTGTGTGGGAAGAAACCAGAATATATGTTAGTGCTAATTAACGCTAGCTTGCTGTCTTTTAAACAAATTTAATGAGCTCTAATACACAGCAGAAGGGTCTGAAGACATCACTGCCCTTCACATTGCAGGGGAGAACCTGGACTCACCCAAACCTCCCTAAATATTTTTCATCCTCAGTCATTTGCAAGTGGTTTCCTGCTGGGTAGAAGGTTTCAGTGCAAAATGCAAAGCTTTTTTTTTCCCCTCCCACTATATAAATATTTATATAATAAAAACAGGAAACCTGCAGAAGTTGAGCTGCTGTTCTGATTTGATATGGGTTAGAAAAAGTGTTTAAATAAATAGTAGGCTGTAATGGCTTTTATAATTCACTGTGTCTACAATAAACACCATGCAGATTACCATGCTTTTGCTGTGGCTTTATTTCAAAACTTCAGTTGTTTCCCATCATTCTGCTCCCTGTGGAGCCAAGGCAAGTCCCCACGTGTGGTTCACAGATTTCCCAATAAACCAGTTAGAGTCTTAGAACTGTAGTATTACAATGGAACTGTAATACTATTTTCATCACCAGAAAGAGGGGGAAAAAGGGCTTTCTTAGATGGCACATACTTGTGTGAAGGTCTTGGTTTTCAACATGCAGCATTAGATGGTAATGGATACATAACTGGTAATTCTGGAGCTGTAGGGAGATTTGAAATTATCCTCCTCTGCTATCTATTTATGGCTTTAGTTCTTTAGGAAGATTATTCTCCAGGTAACAATTAAGGTCAAGGCATGGTTGGGCTTACAGCCTGGGTTGGAGACATGCTCAGGTGTATTTGCTGTGGGGGCTCTGTAGAAATGACAGGCTGAGGAGATGGGCATCTCATTTAGTGCCTCTTATTTGGGGGGTCACAATAAATTGGCTTTCTGCTGGATTTTGTAAATCCATTCCTCTTAGTTTTACTATATTTGCCATGGGCTTCCTTCAGATTGGTTCCTATAAAATAAAAGAGGTCTGTTCCTTCCACTGCACTTGGAATGTTCCTGATTGATTTGGTAATGTTCCATGTACCTTCACTGCATTTCTTATTAGCTTTTGCTCACTCCACTTCAATATCCTTAAGTATTGGATTGATATGATATGAGATCCTCTAATAATATTAATGGAGTATTTGGGGGATCTCACGAGGCACTTGCCAGTCCAGCACCCTGGAAGTTCTGCATTGCAGTCTTCCATCTGCCTTATATTTCTGATTAACGGATTTCTCAGAGGTCCATAGCCATAGAAACCAGGTTTTCCTGCAATGATATTTTAGCTCTTGCTGCTTTTGAGTGAAGTAAGTGGAATAGAGAACTGCTGATGGAAGAAGAGCATGCTGTTGATGGGTTTGTATGAATGTGTTAAGTTTTGTCTCACTATCACATGTAGTTACTATCACAGTCATCTTTACTGGAGGCTTCATATATACTGTTTAATATATATATTTATATATATGCTTTTATACATATATATACATTTTTGATACTGAGGGTGTATTCATATTCCTCGTGACCTGTGCTGTTACATTTTTCAGAACAGTGACACTGATTTAATGTTCTGTGTGAGGTGAGGGAAGACAAACAACTCTGATCAAACAATCAACTTATGAAAGGAATAATATAATCCACCACAGACATCTGACAGTGGAGGAAGTTGTTTTCCTCTGGATAGAAATGGGGCAGGCAGCTTCTCTGTATTTATAGGCAGAACAATCTCTTAAAAAGATTAAGAGCAACTGCAGGTTAATCACTGATAAGGTTGTAAGGAATGTAAAACAAATAACCAGGTTTGGGGATTAGACTCAGGTCTAGAAAGAAATTGCAGCATAAACAGAAAGTCCAGTGAAATGGTGTTTAATTGGAAAGTTTGAAATGAAATTGACCACTTTAACCTTTGAAACCTGGAGACCTTAACCAGAAGGACATGCTTCTAATTCTGAGAACTGTCTGTAAACCACTTCTTCTGCTTATATATACTTTTTGTGTTGTGTAGATCTGCCTTGATCACAGTTGCAATTAAATCCCCCTGATTCCCTTTTTGCCTTCCTCTAAATTTGAGCTAATAAGAGTTTGGTTTTCTCTGTCCTGAGCACACAGCTCCTTTTCAGTGCAGTGATGGTCTCACTGGAGCTAACATTCTGAGTTAAAAACACAGACTTCCATTTTGGAAGGGGTCACCCAGTGGTACACACCCTGATGGGCTCTCACACCAGTGTTTGTTAACAGCAGGCTTAGTGCTGGCTGGATGACATTTTTATGGGGGCAACAAGAAACCTGGAGAGGGGCTTTGGACAAGGGCCTGTAAGGACAGGACAAGGGGGAATGGCTTTAACCTGACAGAGGGGACACTGAGATGAGATCTTAGGCAGAAGTTCTTCCCTGTGAGGGTACTGAGGCCCTGGCACAGGTTGCCCAGAGAAGCTGTGGCTGCCCCATCCCTGGCAGTGCCCAAGGCTAGGTTGCACAGGGCATGGAGCAATCTGGTCTAGTGGAAGGTGTCCCTGCCTGTGTCAGGGGGTTGGAACTGGATGAGCTTTAAGGTCCCTTCCAATCCAAACCAGTCTGGGATTCTATAATTCTAGAATGTCCTTTACCTCCTGGCCAGTGGATGGTCCAAATTCACTCTGGGGTGAGCACCATGTGGCTGTGCTTCTCTGTCTTAGCAATAACCAGAGGAATGAAGACCAGCTGGATCAGTTACTCATTGCAGATAAGAGGCTCTTTTGTGCTGCAGGAATGTCTGTGTTGCCATGGTTACCAGCCACTGTCACAGCCACCGGTGAGACAGGACTCATATCATTGACAGGGCTTCTGGTCTCCCCTTCCCAAGGGAAATCTCCAAACCTACACTATGCCCCAAAGAGAGGAGATATGTGCAGGGGCTGCCCAACCCTCCCCAGTGTGAGCTGGCCAATGCTCAGAGCTGGTTGCGTCCAGTGTCTCTGCCCTTACACTGAGCATTAGGCTCTGGGCTTAATAACCTGAAATATTAGTTCAAAAAAGGAGAAAACGGTGCTGCAGCCTGGGCGGGCTCTGCCCCATTTCCTGTTTTTCCAGTACTCAGGAATGCAGTGACCTCTTGGCACTCTTGCTTTTTGCACCAGCGTGCTTCTCATTAAAGTGCTTTCCTGAGCACTAATTAGAGTGGTTTTCCGTTTGTAAATTAGTCTGATATGATCTGTGTGTCTTGGCACTGGCCCTCTGGAGCAGGAGCCGAGGTCTCTTGTTTGACCGCTGTTTATTTTGCAGATTTCCCAGGTTTTACTGTTCTTGGCTGCCTTCCAGAAAGTACTCACAGGTGGAGGTTAATGGGAGGCTATGTGTCTTTGCAGCTTGCCTGCCTCAGGAAACAGGAGAGGTTTTGGTGCTCCAGGGACCTTCCAATCAGTGCGGGTTGATGGGGTGGTGTGGGCACAGAGGAGCCCTTCCTGCTTTGCTAGTTCCCATCCCATTCCGGCATCCTCCCATGGTGTGTAGTGCAGGAGCAGGTCTGCAAGGAAAGGCACTGCCTGAGCCAAGCTTTTAACAGGGAATGGAAAAGGAAAAATAATCAAATTAACACATCCTGTGCAATTAAACCACTTCATTTATTTTAGTCCAGCAAGTGCAAACCTGAGCAAGCCCAAACCCATCTCAACCTGGGTGTCCGTAGGGCAGGAAAGTCCACCTTCCGACCAGTGCTGCTGAATAGGTCGTGTCAGCAGTTTGCTGGAGACCAGCAGTGCTTGGGAGGGGATGGACTTTAACTGGCTCTCATTTTCTTAGTGCACTGCAGATGACAGTGGAGGGGATGTTGCTTTCTCTGACTTTGGTCATGGCCAGGGTAGAGCCACCAGAGGTTTGCTAAGAAGTCTGGCAGCAAAGGCAGCCCTGGGTACCGGGAGCCACCCTCTGGCTTTGCTTGCTGGGGAGGCTGGCAGCGAGTGGAGCATCCCCAGG